TCCTGGCCGTTTGCAGCTTCTGCAACCAGCACCGTGGGAGCTCCTCTACAGTGCACCGGTCTGTGTTGACAGAGTGTCCACTGGTCCGCTGGTGTCAGGTGTGCTGGTGGGCTCAGGTTGCTGGGCCCTAGCCGCTCCCACTGCCTCCTCCCAGGGAAGACCTGAGATCTTCCAAAGTGGTGGGACCTCCCTGTGGGGCAGGGAGAAGCGCCCTGAAGGGCCGCTCACCGCATAGCCGGCTGCTCCGTCCACAGCACAGGGACCTTCTGCTCCGTGGCTCTGCACTGCTCGGGTTTGGTCGTCCACCTTCAGGTCCACTCACACTTACACACTCGCTCACTCACACACTCACCCTCCTTCCCGTCCTGCCTGCCGCCATCTCGTAAATAGATTTAATTTTAATAAGTATGTAATTTCCACCAATAATGAATAACCTTTTGATTAAAGGTAGAATAAACACTAGTCAGAATAAAAGTTTAACTTACTAATTAGGAAGGATACTGAGGATTACAAGTTTGAATTTATGCCCAAAGGGTAACATCTTATCTGCCTGATGGGAGGCGGGCACCTGGCCTGCGTGCAGTGATTGTGATGCTCTGCAGGGCTCCCAGAAGAGGCCAGGGCCTCTGAGCTTCCTTAAGGTGGCAGCTGGTGTCACTCAGGAAGCAAGGAGGCCCGGGCCTCCAAGTTCCAGAAGAGCTCACTGCATCAGCTCCATGCTGACTGCAACAGTATTTAGCAAAAGCAACAGAAAAGAAATATTGTAGATGATTGGATGCCATATCAGGAGACATGGGGATGAACAGTACTCCAGAAGTTAAATCAGGAGTTTTTGTAGCACATGATAAATCTCCAGATAGTGGTCATTTTGCTCAGTTAATTACACTCATTGGACTTCCAGAAGACAGTTTCCTGGAAGAACATTAGCTTCATTATAAGGAAGCATCAGAACAAGCAACAGAATGCTGTTTTGGCTGGTATGCCAAGGCAGAGCTGACGATACTGGCCCTTCCCAGAGACCACGAGGTTTGGGGGTACACTGTTACTGGCAGAGGAGCTTTCCACATTTCCCTGTTGGTCTGGGTCCACATTAAACGGTCTTAAAATGTTGCCGAGTGGCTCATCTTTGTGTTCAGCTTCAATGTGAAGTGGTAGAGACTTCTTCCTGAGGTTTTATGTAAACCAAAGCACATTTACTGTCCAAAGAAGGAGTTTAGTGAGGACACTGAGTTAGAAGGAAAAATTAACGAACATAATTGAAAACTGAAAGAGTGCCTGAAAATGTATTAACACGTGCTGATCAAGTATGGATTCAAAGCAAAAGTTCAACTTAGAAAAGAATGAGGTTATAAATTAGTACTAGTCAGTGTTAGTATTTGAATCCTGAAACATTATTATAGGCTAATAGAGCAATATCTGTGTTTGAATGAGGAAGAGCTTTATTTCGAAATACTTGATATGGAAAAAAGTTTGATTGGATTCAAAATGTAGTTATATTAGCCAAAACATTTTCAACATTACATTTGTCAGTGAGGGAGAAGCTATTTGATGTGCAGAATGACCACACACTTGAAGTAAAGTAAAAACATTTGAACCATTCAAATTCTTGGTAGTGACAAGAAAGGAGTTTCCATCAATTAGAAGAAAATGCCATTTGTCTTCACCTTGTGACAGTGACAGACTGTTTCGAAGAGGTCATTATTTTAAAGTCCTAATCAGGAATTGTATGTAGCCATTTCAGTATTAGTAGGAAAATTGATATTAAAAATTCCTGAGTGTGCTATGATTTCAGTACCACTTTGTTACTTGACAAAATCTATTTTGTTTCATTGCCCACAATAAAAGCCTGTACTTGGGAAGTATAAGTTCAATTACTTACAACGGATCCACTTTCTAAATCTACGGAGTACACTTGGAAATATACAAGATCTTTCATGACATTGCTTTGTCCCGAGTGTCTGCATTTGTAGGTATCACAGAATGTTCACTGTGCACGAAAACTGTAGCAGTCATTGCAGAATGGGATATTATGTGTCTGAAAGTTATGGAGCATGTGATGACTAATGTTTGCCTAAGAGAAAAGTTTGGCACTCAGGTCACACCTGCCACACAGGTCCTTTTGGGTCGGCCTTTTCTTAGTTCTACTGAGAAACAACACTGAAAGGAAACCATAACCTCCCACTTTGGGTAATGTGCCAATGTGAAAATATCTCCTGGGAACCAAGAAAACTGAAGGATCACTACACTGCTCTAAGGACCAAATTGTTCATGGGAATGGCCCAAGTGGTGTACGTGAAGGCTCACCAGCAGAAGTGGAAAAAGATGAGCTGAATGACTCCACCCACGATCAAGAACTTAGAACAGAAACAGCCAGTGCGAAGATTCAGTTGGAGAACGATTTTGCAAACATGATCTACTGAAGAAACTTGCAAAGGGCAACTTCTCACAGGACACAGAAAATGACAGTTCCCATTCTGACCTGACCACTCAGGTCAGATACAACCAGACCAGAAGTGATACCAGGCCTGCCGATCGTGACAGGTGGCTTGCGCTAGATGAGACATCTGTTCTTTGGATTGGGATCCACACTTGAAAGTGCCACTAGAAGATTTTTAGAAATATGAAAAGTATAGAACACAAACCTCCTTAAAAACCTTTTATGAAATTCAAGATTGCACTGAACTGTTTAAAAGAGAAAAGTGAGGTGCTGAAGATCCTGCTGTTATCCAAATCATTAGGAAGCCACTAAGAAATTGTTATTTCTTATCCCAGCATCCAGTACTTACAATATTTCTAGTGGCTTTTTAATAAATATCTGAGACACAAGATACTTTAGTTGATTTTCATATCAATGACTCAGATATCTGTCAGAATCCCTAATCCAAATGCAAGCCCTATAAATTGATAGCTTTTTCCAACCACAGTGGAGGGTAGGAGGGCACTATATTGCTTTTGCTAGAAAATACATTATTTTGATGACTCATATCTCAACTGCATCTGAATGTCAAATTGTGTTGAAAGCAGTATATGTAAGAGGTAAGGAAGTTTCAGATACCAAATGTAGAGCATTCATTGGATTTTAACTTGTGCAGTCCTTGAAGTGAGACACCATGAAACTTTAATAGAAATGTTCAATTCATTTAGTCTTCAATTGAGTTATATATTGGAATATAAAAATAAGGTTACATTTATCAGTTCAAATAGCTCATGTACAAAGGCTGAAAGTACATTTAAAGATTGTATATAATCTCAGTGTTTACTATTTTCCCTGATGCACTGTATCCTATATTTCTGATAATAGACGAGTTTTTTCCAGTGAGCTCCAAGCCTCTTCCACCATCCCCTGGTGTCCAGTCCAAGCTGTGGCGTGTTCTCTATGCCAGGACTGGCAAGAGGCTGGGAAGCACGACTCTGTGGCACTGCTAATACCAGCACTGCCCCCTTTGGACGTTTGCTCACCACTTGAATTGTTCCGCTTTGAACTCCCATGACATGTTTATTGGTTCTCCCGTTGAAACATTTTGTCAGTGACCAGTGCACTTGTTTCTTCTGTTTGCTATGCTGAGCTATCTGAGGATAAGGACCCTGTGTCCTGTTGACATCTCAGCAGCTGTTACTCACTTTGAGTGGCTTCTCACATGTGCCACTTTGTAAAATTTGTTTTGGGCAAAATTGGGAAAAAGGACTCAATATCTTTGTTACAGGGAAAACAACAAAAATCCCCAAAAACCAAAAAATCAGGATAAAACCAGAAACCCACCTTCGAAGGAGAGGGTAGCTTATCAAGGCTTTGCTGCCATCTTGTGGATATTTGTTCAATCACAACTGAATATTGCCTTCGATTTATTTTGTGAATGGTTTACTAATAAGCTTCAATCTTAAAATGAGGGTACTTTGTCCTTAATCCCCTTTATAATTGTTTTTTGGTAAGTTTTACTGATCCATAATTCACATACTATACCATTAATTCATTTAAAGTGTACAATCCAATAAATGTTAGTATATTCAGTTAGGCAACTGTCATCACAATTTCAGAACTTCTTTCCCCCCAAAAGAAAGCCTGTACCTTTCAGCATTGCCCCCAATCTGTCCATTTCCCCGCTTTCTGTCCATAGTACAGTACTGCGTACTGAGAATCATGCTATGTGTGCGCTGCCTTTTGTGTGGCTGCTCTCACGTAGCGTGTTTCAAGGCTCGTCCAGGCTGTGGCATGTGTCAGTGCTCCATTCCTGGACGGGGCCGTCCAGTGCTGGGCATGCCTTGCTTACGTGTTCACCAACTGATAATACTGGGTTTGTTTCCTTGTCCTGGCTCTTAGGAACAACGCTGCCACAAACATTTGTGTACAGGTTTTTGCGCTGACATGTTTTCATTTCCCTTTGGTGTAGACCAAGTGGGATTTCTGGCTTGAATAGTAATTTGTTTCACTTTTTGAGGAACTGCCAGACTTTTCCAACATTACATAACATTTTATATTTCTACCAGCAATGTATTATGGTTCTGATATAATTGTACTTTAGAGCATTTTCAAAATACATAATAAAATGCTTTGAATGCAATCAGGTTTTTCCATTTTTATTAGAAATTATGTAACAGCAGTATGTGCTCATTATAGAAAAATAACATGAAAAGTTTAAAACAATTGCCTATTATCTCATCCAAAGATTTGGTGTTTATTTGTAAAGTTTTCGTGTGCAGCATATACATTATCTCAACAAAATGGATTTCACTACATACATCTTCCTAGGTCAGTACCTGCCAGTTCTATGAATTGGTTTGTCATTCACTACAACAATGTGTACGTACATCAGGAAAAGGTATCACTTTGGTGTGTAAGATGTTTCTTTACTCTCCATATCCAGGTACACCTAGGTTCATCGACCCAGCAAAGGCTGCAGCACACGGGTTGGGGGTTGCTGGCTTCCTTAGCTGTTAGTTTTCTTACCTAAAAAGCTTTAGTTTTGGTTAAAATAAAATAATTTGTTCAACCTTTTTTTAAGCACTCACTGAAAATGACCAAGACAGCCAGTCACCATTGAAGAATACTCTGTTGTCGACGTCAAGACCCCTGGTGTTTGGGAAACCAAATGGCATGTACCTTTTTTTTTTTTTTTTTGTACGTGCCCCTAGTGGGAACCGAACACGGGACTCTGGTCACAGGCCGAAGCTCCAACTGCTGAGCCAAACCGGCCAGGGCCGGCATGTACCTCTTTTCATTGTTGCCTTGTCAGGACACCACTGCACTGTTGGGAGCAAGGCTTTGTGGCTCAGACTTACCTACTCCCGCCCTCTTAGAGCCCACTGCTTCCAAGGGCCAGAAGCCTTCAGAATTGCCGTGTTCTGGGGGACTGCCCCACACTTGTCGCTCTTGTAGCAAGAAGTCACCCAGCAGCCACACCCATTCATGGTCGGTTGCAAACAGTGGGTCCCTCCCACGTCATCTGTGCTCCTCAGTGCATAGGTTTTGGTTTAATTCCTCATCCCTACTACCCTTCTATATATTTTGCTTTTACTGAATTTAGACTAAAGTATATATTGTGTCTCCTTTGTCTCAGGTGATGCAGCTGATTATCAGAAACAGCTAAAGCAGATGATTAAAGATTTAGCTAAAGAAAAAGATAAAACTGAGATGCCCCAAATGAGCCAGGTACGGACTTTATCCAGTGTAAAGAATTCACTATTTTGCCAAGTTATTTGTTAAGAAGTAAGCTTGAACCCCTTTACCACCATAATCAAAGGATCTGGTTACTTCTGGGAGCTGAACATTGTGGTATTTAAATGGGAAATGTTTAAAATGTGATCCATTCAGATATCAAAGCTCTTCAAAACCGAAGGCTGCTTCCGGCCTGAAATGTTTTCACATCCAGTTCATTTACCAACGTTGTGACGAAGAGTATTTATTCTCTAGTGGTAGCGTGTGGGGGCACTGTGGACACAGCTTTCTTCCCTTAAAGATTAGTATACTCTCCAAATGCTTTAAAAATCACTGATTATTTAACAGACAATACTTACAAGTCCCCCAAACCTTTGTTTCTGTGCCATATCCCAGCACCATGTGATGATGGCAGGTTAATTTATCTTTATTTGATAAGGTGCTTCCTAGTGTTTGGCAAAAGTAGACTTCAAGTTGAACAGTCCTTTCCGTAGGACCCGTCTTTTGGGGCTAATGTGCTGGGAGCCCTCCTGAGGAATTTGGCATGCAGTCCCTCAGGTCTCTTCCTCCTGGCACGTTGGGGCAGTGTTGCTCTGCTGTTGGGGAGCCCCTTCTCACATTTTCCCTTGGATACAAAGCCACTTAAATCTCAACACTGCATGTCAGTTACCCCTCAATTTAAAAGGTCCACTAAACCTCATCACCCAGCACTGCAGGATTATTGTTCTGATGCAGTGTAACATCAGCTTCTTGCCACTTTAAGAATGGACTGGTCAACACCTGGCTTTCATTTACTTCAAAATCATTATTGATTTCTCCCCAGCCATTAAATATTGAAGTGCTTGTCAACCATTTCCCTATTCATGGAGGAATTGTGTAGCTATCTCACATGGAACACCTCATTACATGAGTCTCAACTTGGGCAGGAGTGGAATTTCAGGAGCGTGTCGCCAACCTTCACTGCACATGAATAAGGGCAATGTGGTTCTCGGGGTGCTAAAATTCCCTGGAGGCGGAGGGCAGAGACTACCTTTTCTCTTATTTTGCTTAAAGTACTATATTGTTTTCTCTGAGTACTAAGTATAAAGTTTTTAAAAAATGCATTATACTTCCATCCTGGTTATGCTGCTGTATACTTTTTTTTTTAATCCCAGAGAGAATTTATCCAGTTCTGTAAAACTTTGTACAGTATGTTCCATGAAGATCCAGAAGAAAATGATCTGTATCAAGCCATTGCCACAGTCACCACCCTGCTGCTGCAGATCGGAGAAGTGGGGCAGCGAAGCAGCAGCTCCGGAAGCTGCTCCCAGGACAGTGGGGAGGAGCTGCAGGCTTCAGCGCCTTCTCCTGAGCAGGACTCTGTCTTTGCGGACACCCACATTGGGCCAGCTCCCCCAGATGCCCAGGCATTTCCTGAAGAGGCAGAAGGGGACTGGACAGTCTCCCTTGAACACATTTTAGCTTCACTTCTGACTGAACAGTCATTAGTAAACTTTTTTGAAAAGCCACTAGACATTAAATCCAAACTTGAAAATGTCAAGATCAATCAGTACAGTCTCAAAACTTCTGAAATGAGCAGCCAATCACAGCCTGAACTCAAGCAAGACAGCAGTTTGCTGAAAAAACGAGTCAGCAACAGCAAAGCAAGAACCAACGTTTCATGGGTTGTCAGCCCCTAAAGCCAGATTTCAGTCTGATTCATTTTGAGCATATTCCACAATCTGGGCCTACAGGTAAGCAACCAGATAGCCCCAACTGTTAAGAAATGATGTAACCTTCAGCATTTCTATTCTTTTTTTTATTGACTTTTTTTTTTTAAAAAAAGAGAGGGAGGCAGGAAGAGAAAGATCAGTTGGTTGCATCCCATAAGCCCCTTGACCGGGGATTGAACCCACAAGCTAGGCATGTGACCTGACCTGGAATCAAACCCATGGCTTTTGGGTGCACAGGACGACGCTCCAACCAACTGAGCCAATGGCCAGGGCCATTTCTAATTATTCTTCCAGTTCCACTTTTATCAGATTTGCTGAAGTGGGCGCTTCTGCTGTGATGATTTCATTCTCAGAACACAAGTCCAATATATTATGCTAACTCAGACATAAATGCCCAAGCTCTCATTTTTCATTTGGATAATGGGAGGTCCAGAATCAAACTCACTTTCAAGATATTAAGAACCACTGTCTGTGCAATTGAATTTGGTTTTTTCTTTGCACAAATTTTGTTTCAATGCTGGTAATTGAAACCATTTTAAATATATTTGGTTGTATTCACCTGCCTTTACAAAAATGTTATGTACAAACCATGCTTTCAATGTTGGTATCCAAGTTTTTTAAAAAAATTTTTATATTGACTTTGGTCCTTGTTTATACCTTATGCTTATTTGAGCGTCTAAGGTCTGGGTTGTGCCAGTGAACAGTTATGCTGGAGATGTCACCCCTGCTTAAGTCTTGTGTTCTCAGCCTATAGTGCAGTACTGTGGGGTCTTCAACTCTACCGTCAATGGGGCTTCTTCAGAAATGACCTCTTACAGTGGTGTGAACAGTAATGTAACATATCCCCACAACACTGTGCTTTCAGGCTAAATTCAGATTTTGGATTGTGTAAGTTTCACCTCTGAGCTTTGGCTCCATGTAAACTGGGACTTAAGATATCTCATGGAGCCATTACAAGTGAGCTAAAGTAGTAACTGTACATGTAAATTAAACATAATCTTTACTCTCTCAAGAAGTTAATTATACTCAATACACATTAAATCTAAGATGCTATCAAGTGCATCATTTCAGTTTGTTAAAGTAACAATGACAATTGAGTCTACATGCCAGTTTCTGAAAGAATGTTTATCTATGTAAAAGCATGAACATTATACCCCCTAAACAGTCATTCTAAAGCCAGGCTACACTTCAAAATTACTTTTCAAAACCTACTTAGGCCCTGTCCAAATATTCAGAAATTCCAGGGGCTAGGGAGAAGGGGCACAGGCACAGTCTTAAGGGAAAACTTTCCAGATGACTCGCTAATTGGGAACTACTACACAAACATATCACAATGCCACTAGAAACAAAAACCAACCTCAAAGGCAGTTTTATAACTTTATTCAACAATCAGCAGTCAGTTCTCATCCACATTAACTGTTTGTAGATCTGCAAAAGAAGAGACAATCAGTCACCCTCCATAGCCACACATCACATTGTCTCTAATCTACACAGCTTTGTGAATTGAGTAATACTTACTTTTGAAAGTGGTAACAGGTACATAGGTGACCAATGTATAGAGCTTGTTTGGTGAATCTTCATCCTCATTACGTTTTCTGGACAACCGCACTCGGATACGGTATGGCACATTCCTAATAAATGTAAACACGATGGCAATCAATCCCTCCTGTTATGACAGCCACCAGGTATATTCTCACATCCTGTCAGAACTTCTGTACCATGCTTCTGATGCTCTGCCCTTTGTTCTAACCTGACCAACCAGCCACAACAGGAAAGTGTAACCTCAGGGTCTTGGGCAGCCACCACTAACACTCAACCATGTGGGTCTTGCTGGCCAGGTCTGTCCCCTCTATCACCAACAGAAATTGGTTAAATTTGTAGACACTAAACATTCTGCAGGCTACACTGAATACCAAAGACTATTAAATGCTTCTCTACCTTACGCATACAATCCTCACTCAACCTCTCTGCAGCTCTGCAGTGGGCAATACCTCCTCCTTTTATGGTCTGAGAATGTCAACTATCCTGAAACTCAGGACCACTCCTCCCTTATCTCAAAGGAGCCACCACCTACAGCTCCTCTATTAGACAGCACCGGAACTCTAAATGCCGGCCCACTGCAGGGCTGACTCTCAGGTCCTTTTGTCACCCCAACATTGAAATACCACCCAGATGCCACACCCATGCCCTACTCCAGTCTCATATCATCACCTGCCCATAGGTGGTCCCACTTCCACTTTGGTATCTCACATCATCCTTCACAGCAAAAGCTCTCTCCTGCTTATATGAGGCAGGGCCGCTCAGCCTCGGCACCACGGACACTTGGAGTGGGCAATTCTTTGTTGTGGGGCGACCTTGCACATAGGATGTGTACTGGGACCTTGGCCTGTAGCAGCCCCTAGACAACCACAGATGTGCCTGGAGAGGGCCACAGTGCTATGGTTGAGAATGAATGCTTCAAGGGCTGCTAGAGATGAATCCAAACTCTGCCATGACCTACAAGATCCCATATGATCTGCCCCTGCCTAACCCTCCACCCTCATACACTGTCCTGCAAGTCACTTATTTGACTCCACCTTCATCAACCCATTCCCAGACTATACCAAATTGTTCTCTTTGTGCAACGCTCCTTCCTGACCCCACTTTGTCAGAACCATCATTTGGGTCTCATTACAAATACATTAAAGGGGTCCTCGGGAGATGCCACCCTACCCTTCCAGTTACTGCCACACTATTTTGCATACTTCTGTATGCATTAGCTTACACAGACTGTGCAGAGTGAGCTGGTTAAGTGGTGTAATTTTAAAGGTTCATCTTATAACACAGATATCTTTATCACCTTATTCCTTTGGCCCAGACAGCTTTGTTCAGCCTGGTGTCAATGCGCACATCTGGAGTTCCCATCTCCTTCATGGCAAATTTCCGGATCTCCTTGAGTGCTCGAGGGGCACGCTTCTTGAAACCCCTTGTATTCAAACATAAGTAAATAAAGGAGTACAAAATTAAGTAGCTATTATGTCCTATTTTCATAAAAGAAATCTAAACCAAACTTTAAGAAGGCAGAACAATCCTTTTTTTTTTTTTTTTTTTTTTACCAGCGTCAATGCCCAGCAACTGGCCTACTAGGGACACAGAAGATGCACAACCCACTTTCAATGATGTAGGATGAGGGCTCTGCACACGATCCTTTGTAGTGTCAACACACATGCTGGCCTACTCTCTCCTGATAAACAAAAGCACCCCCAAACTTTAATGGTACCACCTGGCAAGGAGAACATAATCCAAGCACGACATCAGAATATGCTTGAACATACAGCACACAACACACTACACTGTATGAATACGGTAAGTACCCCCAGATCAAAATAGAATTAGAGTTGTTACATCTTAAGACAGCATGTTTTTGGAAACCCTTCAATACTAACTTAAAAGTTCATTAACTTGGTCTGCGCTTCAAAAGCAGAGGCCTGCACTGTGCAGGTTCCTCTCACCAAGTGTGACGAGGACAATAATGAATTCTACGGAGCTCCTGGTATGTGTCAGACACTGTCATTAACTCCTGTCTGCTCCAGCCCTGAGTTAGGCACTATTAATGCGCTAGCTGGATGAGGACACATAAATCCATTTGAATTTCATGCTTTCACCTAACAATGTGAAAAGGCAAAACTTTACCACAGGTGGAAATGGTCAAACATTTGAAGGCCATTCCAAGTGGGGCAGAGAGAGCACAGCCTAAAGAGGTGTCACAATACCCCCAAAATGTGAATGTCAGAAGGGGCCCTGTCAATGGTTCACCTCTGTAACCCAATGCATGGTGCCTCGCATGTAATACCTGCTCCATACATGTTAGATGAATCAAATTTCATGGAACCCAATAAAAGTAACAAATGGGGCATGCTAGTGACTTAATTCTGCTCTAAAATCTTCAATAATGTCCCATGACCCACAACCACCACCTCGGACATCCTCTGACTCCACCCACCAGCACAGCCCACTTGACCATGTCTCCCCTGCGCTCTGTTCTACTCTCACCAGCCTCTGGGTTATTACTAGCAAGCAAGCAAGCAAGCAAGCTTACATTCATTGGAATACTCAACCATCTAGAAATAAAAAGTGGCAGAAATAACATCAGCAATATAAGAAAATCCCTTGTTCTCCAGATTTATGTGGGTGACACTCCTGGAGTACATCAGATGGTGTCAAGTCTGACAGCGAAAAAATAAACTACGGAGCATTAGGAAAGGGCTGCAGGGTTGAATAAAATGGACAAAGAGACATTGGGGTCAAGAGCTGAAGATGATGAGGGCAGCCATTTAGGTGTGTAAAAAAAGCATTTAAGCAAGGGGAGCAGAGGAGAGTAAACACAAAACCAAACAGCTATCCTGAAACATACATGCCTGGTATGACTAAGAAAACAGGTGGCCAGTTCATGTGGAATCATAGCAAGTACTTTGGATTCCAATCTGAATGATATGGGAAGCCAATGGAGAGTTTGAGGACAGACCAGTGTTTGGGGAAGGGGAAACCAGGAGCAGGGAGCTGCAAACTGTAACCTTCAAGTGCCAGAGTGCCAGAGGGATGAGTGAATGGGTCAGACGGCGTGGCAGGCTATGAGGATAGGAAATAGGAAGGCCACAGAGAAACGGGAAGGTTCGGGTTGGAGATGGACAACAGAAGTATGGTTTGGAGCCATGTGGACTCTGAGATGTCTACTTAAACACCCAAGTAGAGATAGAAACCAGAAACTGAGTCCTGGGACACCTCAATATTAAGAGGCTGGGTTGTGAGGATGAACCAACAGAGTAGACTGAGAAGGAGCAGCTAAAGAGGAAAATACAAGACTGTGGTGTCTTTGAAAGTAAAATGAGTAAAGCATTTCTACAGAAGAACGAACAATCCACTGTCTATTGCTGCCAATCAAGGGCTGAAAAATGACCAAAGGGTTTAGTACCACATAGGTCTTAACTTGGGGCTTTTGTAACAAAGCACAAAGTATCTGAAACACTTGCTTCCCTGCAATGGCTCGCACCCACACCTTCCAAATATCCTTTAAAACAACACCCCTTTCACTTGACATGTTTTACCATTTTATATATACCTGTTGTCTAACCTCCCACAAGTAAGCCAGGCAGGTAGGATTTCTGGTTCCCAGCTAAGTCTGCAGAGGCCGGGGCACTGCCCCATACACAGGAGCCTGGTGCCAGTGAAGCTCAAAGCAAATGAAGGCTGCCCCCAAAAAAGGGGCGTGGGGGCAGGGGGCTGACAGGGAACGTGTGTCCTCAGGAGCAACACTAATGCACCAAAAAAGCCCTGGATTTCTGACCCAGAAGCCATTTTAGAGACCCGAATTAAGAACACGCCAGAATGCCCCTTGGCTGGGAGTGCAGGGCCCACAGCACGCCCCACGTGGAGGATGCTGCACATTTGAACCCCTTGAAAAATAGTTGTCTGCCCTGGCCGGTTTGTCTCAGCGGTTAGAGCGTCAGCCTGCGGTCCACAGAGACCTGGGTTCGGTTCCCGCTAAGGGCATGTGCCTTGGCTGCAGTTTGTCCCCGGCCCTGGTTGGGTTGTGTGGGTGGCGGCCACTCGATGTGTCCCTTTCACATCGATGTTTCTCTCTCTTCCTCTCTCTCCTTCCCGCTCTATCTGAGTAAAAAATGGAAAAATGTCCTCGGGTGAGGATTAAAAAAAAAAAATCAGTTGTCTGATGAGAGGCCAGGTCATGCAAGACATTCTGTTCCACAGATTAGTGACCAAATAGCCTACTTGCCCTGTACCATTTGCTATTAAAAAAATACATACCCCAAATAACAGTAGTTACGATTTGGTTTCCATTATTCCACACACCATGTGCAGAAAATGGGAAAACTTACTAATCTTAAGACCTAGAAAGCAAACCCCAGCGGGAGAAAGAGAAGTAGAACATTCTAAGTCACTCCCGACGTCGTTGCACATCACACACCCACAAACGCAGGATCCTCGCCACAAACACTCCGTCTATGTTCTCTTCTGGTTTCTCCCGCAGTCTCACTCCTGATATCAAACTCACCAGTGTGAATTAGAACTAAAATAATCCCATTTTAGTGTTCACATGCTGGGACGGACACCTACTCTTCGGTTAACTGGTTAACTTTCCAGAGTCTAGAGGCATTAAAAAGTTCGCCTCCCCTCGCACGCACGTCCTCACCCCAGGACTGTCCCACAGCTACAGCACTGAGCGACACGCCCTCTCATCCTGTCCTCTCGACGGCTCTCCCCGGGACCTCGTTTCCAGTCACTAACCTTGAGCATTACACTTGAAGCCCTATACACCGCAAACACGGCCCACGGACCGCAGCCCGGAGCGCCGGCTGCCGGAGGGCCGGGCGCGGGGATACTCACACTCCATGGATGCGCTTGTGAATGTTGATGGTGTACTCTCTGGTCACCACCTCGTTGATGGCGGAACGGCCCTTCTTCTTCTCCCCCCCCTTCTTCGCGGGAGCCATCTAAACAGGCGACAAGGAGGCTGGGCAGTGGGACCTACCCCCGCCGCGTCCTCCCTCCGGGCGCTTCCGGTGCACAGCGCCGGCAGGTGCCCGCACCCCGTCGGAACGAGCCCACGGGCCTCCCACGGCCCAAGATGCGCGCCCGTCCCCGCAACCCCTGCGTCCCCTCTCCTCAGCCACTCTCTCCCGGGCTACGGGAGCCCTGAGCGCAAGGCCGACTCCGTCCCCTGGAATGCGGGGTCCCGGCAAGGGGGGAGCCCGCGGTCCCGGCCCCGGGGACGGGGGAGTCCCCGGTCCCGGCCCGGGAGAGGGGAGAGTCCCCGGTCCCGGCCCGGGTGAGGGGGGAGCCCGCGGTCCCGGCCCACGCGATCGCGGGCGAGGATGGAGCCAGATTCCTGAGGCCAGCACCGAGGGCCCATACTCACTATGCCGGCCGGAGTTGGAAAGAAAGAGCGCAAGGCCTTGTGGGACAGGGGAAACAGGGTTGCAGTACAACTTCCGGGCCGCGGGGAGGAGGGCGGAGCGCGGGCGAGGCTGTGACGTCAGTGGAGCGCGCCGGGGGAATGCGGGCCGCCCCGCCTTTGTGGAGTTTTTGCAGCTGACTTCCCGGCGCCGCCGTGGGAGGGACTCGCGCCTTTGCCTACGTCGTCGGAAATCAGACCCCAGGCTGCTGGTCGGCTGGGGCAGGGCCGGCGGAGAGGACGCCCTGGGTCCGCAGCCTGGCCGCCGCACTCGCGGGGCGCGCGGTCGGGCTGGCAGGGCGGCGCCCGCCGGGCACGGCACACTCGTGAAGGAGGGTATTGTCCTGGGCTGCGGGGCCCCTGCACGGTCGCGTCCCGCCTGGTGCTCGAGGGGGTGAACACGAAGGGGGGCGTGGCAGCCCCGACCGGCTCGGGGGGCCGCTTGGCAGGCCTGGCAGGCCCAGGGAGGGGAAGCAAGCCCACAGGGTGGCCCCCTCATAAAATCCTCAGCACAGGTCCGTCTTGACCTTACCTGGGCCCTGCCCCTGGTTCTTAGGCATCCAGGATAACGTACTTTTGAAATGTCAGAGTCCTTTTCCAGGCCACTGTGAAGCGACGCACTGCAGCCGACCAGGTCCACACCGAGGCCCTCGTCGTCCTCGCGGCGCCCACGTACCATCTCGGTGCCCTGCGCCACGTGTCAGCCACCCTGCACCCGCCAGTGGACAGGAAGGACGCGTTCTCCATTTTGGTTTTTAATCCAGTCCTAGATGTTTACCCGCCTTGCGTGCTTCTGCCCCCTTAACCAATGGTTTCATGTAGCTTTCCTGATGCTTTCTCTTGGTTCTAAATGTATAAAATAAGCTGCAGAACTGACATTGCCCAGAGCATTCTCTCAATCCGTAAGATCTTGCTTCCAGGCGTGTCCTTTAACTTGGCTCAAATACATTCTTACAGGGCTTTGTTCAGGTTTGGATGTTCTTTCGTCCTCAGCTGGGTCAGGTAGGCTTGTGCAGGGTCTGGAAGGAAGGGCAGGAGTCAGCTGGCAGAGAGGTGGCCGAGTGTGCAGCTCATGGACAGTCTGAAGTCTAGGACTTCTCACTCTAGGCCTTACTCAGGAGTTTGAGTATTATAGGTAATGAATCATTGGAAGATTTTCAGGAGGGCAGTGCCATGATCAGATTTGTTTTAGAATTGATTTGATTATACTGTGAAGAACAGATTGGGTGTGGGGGCAAGATGGTAGCAAGGAGACTAGTGGAAGGAAACTATTTCCTTAATGGAGACAAATGAGGAAGGGCTGAACTAAGGCAGTAGCAGTGGGATTGGGACAGGACAGACTGATTTTTATAGAAACTAAGAGGTAAAATCAAGAGGACTTGGAGAGAGAAAAGCAGTGTGGAGTCATTGCATTTAAGAGGTGTGTGTGTTTGGGGGGGTGCAAAGTGGCGGAGATGTCATTAGAACAGTAGGAAAGTCTGAAGATACTGTCATAAGTCCAAAAGAAGCCAGAGAGGTGGACAGGTTCTAAATGCTACAGAGTTCAGGTAAGGCAAAAACTGAGATATACCCACTAGATTTTCCAAAGAGGAGATTATTAGAGATTTTAACAAGTTTCACTGTCGGACTGGCGGGGAGTGGGCAGGAGCCAGATGCCAGCAGGGTAAGGAGTGAGCAGGGGGATGGGCTGCTCTTTCTGTTTGCGCTGGAACAGACGTGCTGAAGGGAGTGAAACGCAGAGGAGCAGGGGACACCGCAGGCAGTCAGGTTGGACAAGTGGCTTAGATAAGATGTGAGAGGTGATGGGAGCTCTGAGGAGGTGCCCGCAAGAGATCATTCTAGAGCTTCCCAGAGGCCTGGGAACAGGATGTCACCAGTCTAGGGATTCAAAGACAGCCCGCTGGATCCATGCGTCTAGGCCTCCCATATTCTTGATGAATTCTCTTCACAGGAGCACGCAATTTAGTGGCTTAAGACGGAAAATGAGCTAAAGTTTTTGAGCCCTCAGATATCTTAAGGTATTTATTCAACACTCCAACTTATTGATATTTGACTTGCATGGAATTCTAGGTTGAAAATCATTTCTCCCAAGCATTTTGAAGACATTCTCCATGGCTCTCATTTCCTCCTCCCTTCACCCTGCCTATTCTCTCCCTCGGCTAAGGCGCCTGAAACCTGCCTGAGGTCTTTCATGCCATAATGGCCCTTTGGGACCACTTTTATGATCCTGACTTTTATGCCCCTACCTGCAGATGTGATCCTGCCATTTCTAATTGGCTCCCAGCACCTAGAAGGGAACTAAGCACCCAGAGGAGCCTCTGGGGCACCATCCATAGGGGCAGTAAAGTGTCACCTTAATGTATCAGAAATGGTTGCCAGCTCCTCAGGTTTCCAGATGACTGATAGGGTGTGAATAGATCCTAGGTCTTGTTGAAGCAAATAGACCCCTCCAATGAACATCTGTAAAATGGCTTTCAGCTGCTTTAAGTGATGGCTGAACAGACTATAATATAAACTCTTTGGTCTGAAGTCCTGCAAATCATTAGCCTGCCTGGGGCTCTCGGGTTCAGTCCAGTATTGCAGGCTCTTCCACCTTGTCCATCCCTCCCAAGCCTCAGGGGTCAGGCCAGTCACTGCTGGCCTGCCAGAGACCAAAACCATTAAGATGAATTTTCTGTGCTTTGTAACTGTTTTTATTGTGTGTGTGCAATGGAGCTTGGGGAGTCAATAAGGAGGCTGTGATCCAGCCCAAGTGGGGTCCCAGGTTAGGGACGAATAGTGGGACAGAGAAGAGAGGGCTGGCAAGTATTTTGAAATTAAAATTAAGTTTATAACTGACTTTATATTAAAAGTCAATTTAGGAGAAAGTCTTAGTGGTTGACAAAATCATATTAGAAAGGTAGAGTCAAATACCTTCTAAAATATATTATATTGGAGAAATCAATGTGATTTCATGACCTTAACCAAATATGTTTAGCTCTATCACCACAAAGTGGCTCAGTAGTAGCAATGGAAGCAGCATTTTAACCAATATTAATTGTCATTCTCACCCAAGTTGCCCAGATTTTAATCTCTAATACATTAAAACAAACAAAAAACTAATCAAGCTTCCTTGGAGTTAATCCTGGGCTTTGTACCAGAAAAAGCAATCAATTTGGGCCTTGATGCACTTTTTTCCTGAAGGAACCCAGAGCTTGGTTTCTGAGAGGCGATGCTGAAAAGATAAAGGCCAAGTTACACTGATCTGAGCACAAAATGAAATAATAATAACAATGGTTAATTAGAAAAGCTGAAATTATAAAACAGCCACGAGCTTGCAGTAGAAGACGAAATACAAAAAAGGTAGTTGTAATTAACAAAGGAGTCAATATAATAGGCATGCCTAATCTTTTCATAAGTCAGAAAGTGTTGGTATGTAGGAGTGTCTGGTTTCGTTGTCAAGTTTGTCTTTTAATAAGGTGTAGGCAAATACAAGCTTTTATCCTAGGGAAGTGAGGTGACACTTGGAGCCAAATGCTTCCCAGAAAAGTAGGGGCTACACAGTGAAGGTAGAAGGGGTCCAGCAGCTTCACCCTGATGGCTGCATGCCACAACCATGCTAATCAGTGAGTCCTGGAAGACAGACATGGATTTCCAAATTGGCCGGCAGACCAGACTTGACATGTCATGCAGTAAGTGAGATACATCCAGCCAGAGAAAATGTAAAGAAATCTTCACAAGCCTCAAAAATAAAAATCTGCATGAGAGCCATGAAAGTCACCTAATGTAAGATATGCAGCTTTGAAATAAGAAGGGAAGAATCTGATGCCAGCAGAGCCGGTGAGTGGGAGGGCTGTATAGCTAAGTCCCAGCCCCTTGCCAACTGAAGCTGCCAACTGGACTTGCAGTCTTTGCTGGCCAGAAATCGCAGTTTTTAAAGATCTGGTAAGATCTTTAAACTTAGGGTGGTGTAAAATTTTTATTCAGTGAGTTATTGAAACTCTAGAGTGGTGTATACAAACTGGAACACTGAGAAGGTGTAAGGAGTATGGGATTAAAATACAAAAAATTAATTCTGTGATAGTTACATCCTTGCAACAAGTTTTGATGTAAAGATATGTAATTTTGTTACAATTTGTGGATCCTTCAGGGATCTATATCAGACTTGAGGATTTCTTTTTCTTTTTCCTTTATTGATTTTACAAAGAAAGGAAGTGAGAGGGAGAGAGAGAGAGACGTCAGTGAGAGAGAACATCAATTGGCTACCTCCTGCATGCCCCCCACTGGGGGTGGGACCCACAGCCTGGGCATGTGCCCTGACCCGGAATCAAACTGGCAACCTCTTGGTGCGTGGGTTGATGCTCAACCACTGAGCCACACTGGCCATACCAGCCTTGAGATTTTAATTGAATCCTTACAGTGGTAACGCAACATTGGAGTGTGAGTTTTAGGGCATGTATTAGTTTAGTGAATATGCTGAAGGGTTACAGTTTCCCCATAATTGAACATTGGTTAGGCAAAAATCCTAAAGTAGATTCTGTTTGTTTCTAATAAGCTTTTTTCCCTTAGAAACATAAAGTGCTTGCCTGGCTGGTGTGGCTCAGTGGTTGAGCATTGACCCAGGCACCAGGAGGTCGCCACTGATTCCCGGTCAGGGCACATGCCCAGGTTGTGGGCCAAACCCCCAGTGGGGGCATGCAGGAGGCGGACAATCCATGTTGTCTCTCATCGATGTTTCTATCTCTCCCTTTCCCTTCCTCTCTCTAAAATCAATAAAGAAAAAAAAAATTAAAAAAAGAAAAAGAAAGCTTTTCACAGGTACCAGAAGGCTGTATGTTTCAGCTGTGTAATAGCCATGTAGAGGTCGCCATGGCTGCACTGCACACGTGCGCGTACACAGTGGTATGTGTCTGTCCACAAAGCCATCTAAGGTACTTCTCTGGCGGGTCCTGATCAGTTGTTTCTCTAGGTTATTAATGGTTGACTTTAAAACCTTTGAGCTTCACGTAAAGTAAAGAGAGAAACAGGCAATTTTATACCAAACACTCAACTTTACCAGCTAAACTAGTCAAGAGTGCAAAATGTCAGGCTTAGAATGATCTAATAGTTGACCAGTTCACCACGTTGCCTGTATAAACACAAATTTTAAATTAGTGAACTTTAGTTGCCATTACAGACAGAAGATACATTTCAGTTGAGATAGTTTAAGATATTTGAAAAGGTAGTATATTCCAGAGTCCACATTTCTGTCCCTTCTCATGAGCCAAGACTTTATAGTTTTCCAAATAGAAAGCTCATGGTTATTCTGGAAAAAAGGACAGGGTTGCAAACCAGCATTTTAATAAGCAAAATTAAATGAGTCAGAAGCTTAGGGATTAACCCTGGCTGGGTAGCTCAGTTGGTTTGAGTATTGTTCCAATGTGCCAAGGCTGTGGGTGTGATCCCTGGTCGGGGCACATACAAGCATCAACCGATGAATGCATAAATGAGTGGAACACCAAATCGGCGTTTCTCCCTCTTCCTGAAAGAAAGAAAGAAAGAAAGAAAAGCTTAGGGATTACACTTCCCCTGCTGTCATGTGGACTTAAAGGAATATTACACAGTAAGAGTTTTGTGAGTTTATCCAGATTCTGAACATATGTAAGGCTGAAGCAATGCTAAATTAAATTAGTAGCACAGCATATGGTACCCTCTTCTAACGGCTTCCTACAGAAAATTCTAGGGTGATTAATATGCTGTTTCCATTAAAAATCTTGTTTTACTTACAAATAAGGATTCTGGCAGCCCATTAAAATACAAAGTCTTTTATAGGAAAATCAGACCTATAAAGTTCCCAATTTATAAAACAGTTAAATTACAAAGTAGTTAATCCATTTTCACACAAACTTTTCATTTTAAAAGGACTTCTTTCTGGTTCCTGTAGTTTAAACAGCAAATGGTCCTAATGCACAATTTTTAGACTTGCCCTTCCCAGGAGCACAGCAATTGTGTGACAAAACCCTTTTTGATGTATTTATATGACAGCCTCTTATGCCATTCAAACCCGATCCTAGTCATAGAGCTGAGAGGAGTGACCTGTATTTCACAGGGAAGTGGGCAGAAGCATGAAGCTATAGCGATGCAGTAAGGAAGGGAACTCAGTTCTCTTGGGCCAGTGGTTGTGGGAAGGGCTGTGCTGAGTATCGCCACCTCGTTGCTTCCCAATCCCTGTGTGCTGGGGTACCCTTGTGTCAGCATGATGAAGCTGTATGGGAGAAGAGGATGGGTGTCTGTAGTTGGCAGACACCTCCAAGATGCTGCTGCCCTGTCTGCCCTCGTCAACATGACATGGGTGCACGTCTCACACACACACACACACACACACACACAGCTGGTGCACATCACTGACGTCTGAGTGTTGGCGGTCAGAGCCTATGGAACCACTCATGGAGCTGAATTATAGGCAGTGAGTGCTCTCGTGGCAAATGTCCTGTGCATCTCCTCAGACTGCCTATGTCTACAGGGCTGACATGTTTTCAGGAACTTTCTGGTTTTGTTTGCTGTCATTTCTAAGGTGCACCATTGCATTTTTCTGGCACAACATTTACTGTAAAAATTAGGGACCTGACAGACTGGTGCGCTGTGGCTCAGGAAACACGCGCCCTCGCCTGGCTCTGTCAGCACGCTTCTGCCTTCCCCCTGTGCTGGCCTGTCCTTGGGAGCGGCTTGACTCAAAGAAGTGTTTGCTCATGAAAAGATTGTGCATGCGCACATAAGGGACAGAAACTGCCTCCAGAAGGGATTGTACAAACTTGTTAATTTATTACAAAATGTCCACTCACAGAAAAACAAGAATACTTTTATATTTGAGAAAGGAACTGTGTATCAGATACAAAATAATTTACACACAATCCATACAATTTTATTTCATATAGAAATAGGTCATTATGACAAGAGCTGTATAATTCACTACACTTCGTCTTATAATTACATAAAATCTTTTCTTTAGAAACATCTCAACAAAACATACAAAAAAGCAAAGTGCATTTTGAAAAGGGAACCCAGTCCTGGGTCTTACCATGGAAGATACGTAGGAAGGTGCAGCATTCTTGCTCAGGGGCCCAGCGCAGGTGGGTCCCGTGGGCCTGGCCCCCGGGCCTCCCTGCATAGCCCTACAGTTCTCAAGACTGGAATGAATGTTAGCGGCAGGATTGTGCTTTTCTCTGAGTCTGCCTAATAGTTGCAATCCACGAAGTAAACAGGAAACAGTCCAGTGTTATATTTAGAGGGATAAATAATCACCAGCACGGTGTGGGGTGGAGAGCCTCATTCCATTAGGGTTTAGGCTGGAGGAGGGGGTCAGCCACTGGGTGATGAAGACCAGCACTACTCTCTGGTTGGCTGTTTTTGTTACTGTGGTCTCCAAAGGAAGTCATGAGACCTTACTTTTAAAAATAGAAAGTACCTTAAGTTGCCTCTTCTGCGCAACTGTGCAAATTAAAAACAACCATTTAAAAATAATGAAAAATAATTTCTTTATTCTCTCTTCAACGGATCTCTAAACTGGTGCTTCCGGAATGCAAAGAAAAGAGGATTAAGAGAATGAAGGCCAGTTATCGTGTATGGATGGGCCACTGCCAGCTAGAGTGACCGTGTGCTCTTGGGAAGTGCAGTGAGACCGGCCATCTGAGAAAGTAGACTGAGTCATGACATCCAAGTACGGCGGTAGTGTGTGCCTGAGGAGTGCAGACGCAGGGAAGCCCAGCCAGGGTTGCTGCCAGCCACTGTGCTCCAGGGCTGGTCCCTCCAGGAGATCTGAGATGGACGCACTGTGCACAAGCCCCAAGGTGTAATTCATACACGTGTCCTTCCTTGGCCAACCATCGGTGAAAGCTCATTGGGACCCGGCTGAGGTGCCTGGGCACTACCGGGGCTGCTGGAGGCCTGAGGACTCAGACAGGCTGCTGACCCGCCGGGGTGGGTGAGAGGGCTGGGGCCGAGGGTTAAAGCCCAGGGTGCCTGGCTGCTGCGAGTAGGTTGAGAGAAGTGGCAAGTCCTGCTGCTCACTGTGCAGAGAGGCTGGCGCCTGCACCTGGAATGGAAAGGAAGAGGGCTCCAGAGGGGCTTTTGTGATCCCACAGCTGCTCAGCTGAAATGCAGACATAGCTAGGACACAGGGTACCCCCAAGGCTAGGGGGTTGTGGTGAGGGCCTGGGTAGGACACTGTGGGGAGAGTGGTTGGGGGAGAAAGGAGCCCCACATTCTACCAAACGGGGTGAATTCTGCAGCAAGCTTCCTGCTAGCACAAAGGGCTCCTTCCAGCACGTGTGCACACGGTCCACGTGGAGCTTGTATGTTTCTGGATGTTGGAGTTGACCCACATGAAGATAACTGGCAGAATCCAAACATGCATGCAATCTGCATACTTTCACTGGTGGTCCCTGATTCCATAACTCCTTCCAAATACTGCTGTTTGCCAACATCTGCTGGAAGACACCCTGATCGGCAGCTCAGAGACTTCAAGTAGCTGAACCCCCACCTTGGTGACTTGAAGCCTTCCATCTCACCTCCCCCATCCCCCTCCGGGGACTCCACCCCCAAGTGACCCAGCACACCCTGTTTTTAAGCTGCACAGGTACACTTGCCCCTCCAGTTTGGCTCAGGCTGTCTCTCTTCCTGGACATTGGGCCTTCGCCTGCACTCATCCACCTGCACTCCATGCATTCCCCAGAATCCAGCTCTGCAGCAGTTGTCCCCGAGTCCTTCCTTCCGGGAGGCCCCCCGGACACAGTGCTCTCACTGGGCACGAACCCAGAGCCTCTCTGCAGCATCCGCCATCCCTGCACTGCACGACAAGGCCCGGAGGCACCCAGGAGTCCTGAGCAGGCTGTGCACCCCTCGCCCTGCATCTTCACTGCTACCCCTGAAGAGATGGATGGGAGGCCTCTAACTCTCCCTCAGGCTGTTCCCATCCTCTCGGGCATCAGTTTCCATCCCAAATCATGTCTGTGTCCTACAGGTTGACAGGATATGCAAAGCTGGTCTTGAGTTGACTCCCACTATGCCTGGGTCAGGGGATTTGAAAAGTATGGCACAGATGGTTCTGTAGCTCTGGAGTTAAATTAGATTCAAGACCTTCAACAACGACTGTTCATTTCTAGCCCACTGCTCTCAGTGTCTGTCACTGTGCACTCTTCTATGGCTGGAAGATGCCCACGTGGGGCAGGTGTGGAGACAGGAAGGCCAGTGTCTTTGGCACTTGCTTGAAGTAACTAGTGAGCACATGGAAAGGTGCTATATGTTTCCCGGAAAGCCCGACTACATGCACCATTATTGTGTTTATTAAGGAAGTCTGATGAGTCTTTAAACGTGACTTAGTTTTATATTTGTAAAAGACTGTGTATAAACGCAGTAAAAGTCCAACAAACATAGTTATCAGGGTCTGATTTTTGTTTTAAAAATACAGACACCATAATCAAAATTACTTTTTAAAAATGGACTTTTTGCCTTGACTGGTTTGGTTCAGCGGTTAGAACATCGGCCTGCAGAATGAAGGGTTGTGGGTTTGATTCCCAGTCAAGGGCATGTACCTGGCTTGCAGGTTCGATCCCTGGTCCCTGTTGGGGTCGTGAGGGAGGCAACCAATCAATGTGTCTCTCTCACATCAATATTTCTCTCCCCGCCCCCCTCCCTCCACTCTATCTAAAAACCAGTGGAAAAATATCCTTGGGTGAGGATTTTAAAACAACAGACCTTTTTAACACACAACCCTATGTGACATAATAGCTGATACTATTATATATATTTATATATAACTTCTCATACTATATGTATTTGTAACCTTTGAGGTTATGAATTTTATAAACTATGAAGATTCAAATACAAATCTGTCAGGGGTTTATTTCAGCCTTGAGGACTAGAACTACCTTGAAAGCAGGGGGAAAGGCCTGTCAGGTGTGGGCTTGGAGCTGGGCCCTGGCTCCCTGGCCCGAGGTTGCACGCGCCCACCTGCAGGAGGTGCTGTGGAGGCAGCTGCGGGGCCTGGGTGGGCTGCAGCACCGCCTGGCTCATCAGCAGGAGGGGGATGGAGGCACTGCTGGCACTGAGCGCGTCTGCAGTCGGAAACACGGCCTGGCTCTGCGGGTACCTGTTTGGTTTCACATGAGAAGGAAAACACAGACCTTTAAGAAAGAGTGTTGATAGGACACCAATCCCAGGCAACAGTGGAGGAGGAGATAAATGGATGTTATCAAAATGAAAAACATTTGTGCATCAAATGAGCTGTCCACAGAATGAAAAGGCCACCCAGGAAAAACATTTGCAAAGCATGTATCTGTGAAGGGACTGACATCCAAAACATGAGAAAACGCCTATAACTTACCCCAACTGCCAACCCGATTAAACCCAGGCACAGGTCTTGTACGGACATTTCTCTAAAGAAATGATACAAATGGCCAATAGGCACATGAACAGATGCTCAACACCACTAATCATTAAGGAAATGCACATCAAAATAGAAATGAGATCCCATTCATAACCATTATGATGGCTATTATGAAAAAACTCAGAAAATAATGAGTGTTGGTGAAGATGTGGAGAAACTGGAGCCCTTCTGCACTTGGGGGAAGTTAAATGGTGCAGCTGTTGTGGAAAACAGCCTGGTGATTCCTTAAAAAGGGAAACAGAATTACCACACGGTCCAGCCATTCCACTCTGGGTAAATGCCCGAAAGAAGTGCAAGGACGGACTCACGCTGATGTTTGTACACCCAAGTTCACAGCAGCATCATTCACAAGACAATGCCACATGTCCACTGAGGATGAAGGGTAGACAGATGTGGTCTGTACATATGGCAGGATATTAGCCTTAAGAAGGAAGGAGATTCTGACACCTGCTACAGCACAGTGAACCTCGAGGACATTACACTAAGTGACATGAGCAGTCACTGCTGTGTGATTCCATGTAGGTGAGGCGCACAGTTGTCAAATTCATAGACACAGAAAGCAGGTAGTGGCTGCCAGGGGCTGGGAAGGTGGAGGGCCCAGTGTTTAGTGGGTCGGGAGTATCAGTCTGGGAAGATGAAAACTTCAGGAGATGGATGGTGGTGATGACTGAGCGACAATGTGAATGTGCTTAATGCCACAGCTTAACGGTTAAAGCGGTGAATTTTATGTTATATATATTGTGCCACAACAAAACATTGAAAATAAAGGAGAGGTGTAGATAATACCGAGTCATTAACAAGGGGCAGTGGAAGGCATGTTCCCTGGCCAGGAATCGAACTGGGACCTCACAGTCCACCGTGGAAGCCCTGGAGGGGCACAGACTAGGAACAGATGCTTACAGACAAGAGAGGAGCCCATTTTACATCCTATTTTTAGAAATTTATTTCTGTTTGGGGTCATTTTATTTTTTATTTTTATTTTAGAGAAAGAGGAAAGGAGAGACAGATAGAAAGATTGATGTGAGAAAGATGTATCAATTGGCTGCCTCTTGCACACCTCCTACTGGGGATGGAGCCCACAACCTGGGCATGTGCCCTGACTGAGAATCAAACTGGGACCTCTCAGTCCGTGGGGTGATGCTCAATCCACTGGGCCACATAGGCTGGGCTGTTTGGGGTCATTTACACAGGCATTGGGGGTTCCAGACTTACCCTGAAGAGGCCTCTGTGTGTGGGAGCCAGAGCTGAACACTTGGGGGATGGTATCAATTATTGGGTTGATTGAAAATGGTGGGGTTCCCAGAACAAAGAGTTTCCATTTTTACCTAGTTCGCTGCATTTTAAGCATCTCTGGAAAGTGATATAACAAAATTCTTTGTTCCCACCCATTTGGATCAGGTAGGAAGCACAAGTGAAATCCAAACACCAGCCACTGCCCAAGCCCCACCTCGCCGAGAGCAGCGCTGTGGACGGTACAGGCAGCTGCCTGTGGTCTGCATCCCTCACACCGTCACAGGGCTCTCCTCAGGACAAGCAAATAGAATGACATGAGTACAGGCCCCTGACACCAGACATGCTCAGGGACCGAGCTGCCACCAGTGTGGTGGCTGAGGGAGGGTGCAGGAGAAAGGGTGCTGGGGTGCTGCAAGTCCTCTGCCTGAGGGCACACCAGGCCTGATCAGCCAGCACTGCCCTGGTGAGCCTCAGTCACAAAGCAAGCCCGTGTTCACACAGAACGACATCTGTGAGGCGGCTCCATTTCTGCTTCAGTGCAAAGGGCCAGAAACTGTTTTCCAGTAGCTTTTCAAGTATTCCCTTTTGTGTCTCCAGTAACCTATGTCTCTAGAGTTAAACAGCTGAGTAAGCTGTTTCTGGTCCTGGGGTTTCTCTTGGGGAGAGGAGAGAGAGACAGCTGTGTCTAGGAGGGACAGGGCCCCGTCTGCAGGGTTCTAGAGCCACGGAGCAGGCAGAGGGTGTCTGCGGAGCCTGTCAGCGTGCGCTGGTGCCGTACACAGGGCCACATTTACCCGGGCACTGCTGTGGCTGAAGGCATTTACGCCGGCAAAGATATCGCAGGGGGCGCTCAGTGGGCTGGGTGTCATCCATGCACCAAAAGGTTGCTGGTTGGATTCCTGGTCAGGGCAAATGCCCAGATTGTGGGCTTGAACCCCGGTAGGGTGCATGCAGCTGGCTGATCAATGTCCCCCCCTTCCTCTCTCTCTAAAAATCAATTAAAAATCTTAAAAAAAAAAAAGAAAGAAAGAAAGATATTGGAGAATGATGTAAAGCCAGGAACCTAATGAAATATTTCATCCATGTCATGTTCTAAGCATGGAACTTGATACAAATTGCTCTCTGCTCCACTGGGAAGCGGTGGAAGAAAAACGAAGGGAAGAGTCCTTTACAGGGTGTGGCTCCCTTTGGCCTGGCGTCAGTGTGAGACTCCAGGGGGAACTGCTGGGCCGGGCAGATGAAAGCCTGCCAGCCCGAGACCACTCAGTGCTCGGCCTCCTCCCGCCACCCGGCCACCTACTTGACTTGCGGTCCAGTCCTGCCGACCTCTGAGGGCTGTCTTGTGTCACAGGACCCAGGCATCATGGGCTGGATGGGCTGGCTCAGCAACAGCCTTCGCAAAGGAAGAGAAAAATGGTACACTGATCAGCACCCAGACTGCAAACCTGCTGGGCGGTGGCCGTACCTGCCCAGCTGGCTGGCCCTTCTGTCTGACAGAATCCTCTGCCCACTCTGTCCTCAGAGGATGATGAGCACAGCAGGCCACTTTCTCTGGCCATCCAGACCCCGCCTCTCTTGCCCTGCATCAGAGGAGGTCAAATACAGAGGCCTTCGAATCTGTTGGAACTCTGCCTCCATCTACCGCAGAAAGCAGAGCTGAAACGAATCATCTCAAGCTTGGCCTCAGTTACCTTACAAATAAGGACAGTCTCCCTCCCTACCTGAGCTGCCGATCGTGGCTGAAGTCCGGGCTGGGCTGGCACTGGTTGGCGTCCTGGGAGTTGGAAGCCAGGGCGGTCAGGCTCAGGGTTGGTGAGAGCACGGCGGCCGGGTTGCTGAACTGGGGCGTCAAGCTGCCCACGTCATGGCGACTTCCCTGTATTATCTGCGTGCTTCTTACTGGCTTGGGACCCTGGTGCATTATTTTAATGAGAAAGGTAAAAACTTAGACTCACCTCAGATGTCATCTCTCCAGGAGCCCTCCCCAGAACCGCTTTCCCCTGCACTCCCTGGTCCTTTGTCTAACAGGACCTGAGGACTGTTACGCTATTCAACCTTGTGACTGTCTTCCCAGTGCATTGTAAGCACCTCCCGGATTCTTTGGATCCTGGGGCCTAGGACAGTGCCCAGCTCCCAGTAGACAAGTCACAAATGTGTGTGTGGAACTGAACAAATTTCTGCTTTACAAATTCTACTCCAAACACAGGGACTGAGGCCTCCTCCTGCCCCAGGACCTTTGCACTTGCTGATTCCTTTATGTGCAATGTTCTTCCCCCAGTACCAATATATGCCCCATTCCCTCATCCCCTCTTCTCGATGAGGCCAACTCCTTAAAATGCTGCCCCCACCGTCAGCACTGTCCTGCCTTTGCTTTTCCTTTCGGTGCATTGCTGCCCCTCTGTACCTGGCCTGGCATGCAGTGAATGCTCAATAGATCTGTATGAGAGAAGTCATCAAAGAAAGAGGGGATGGGCTTGGTCTGCTTCACCGATTGTCCACTCACATGATGGCACCACGGTGTTTCAAGTCTCAGCATTTCCAAAACCTCTCAGTATCAGATAGTGTCAATTTGACTCAGTTTTTTTTTTTTTCCCCAAAATGTTCCTGGCTATTAATTTTTCTGTTGACCCCTAGAACCAAAAGGCTGTTTGTATTTTAAAGTAAAACTCTTAAATTGGGGGGAAGATGGACTGAAGCCTCATACACGCACTTCACACTTTATTGCGTGGTGTGTGTGTATGTCCCTGAGGCCAAGCACAGCTCTCATCCACCTGTGCGCCGGGCACGGTGAGCGGCACGAGCGGGCCGAGGCGTGCTGGGCCCACAGGACGTGTGGAGGCAGCGGCCCGGACGGCTGAGCTCCTCCAGAGCAGGGCTCGGGACTTCCCCCTTCGGCGGACTCCAGTGCTCTTTGATGACTGGAGACCGTCAGGTGGCGAGGTCCTTGGTGGCTTTTAGTTAGTGGTGATGGCCATGAGGGAAAGACTTGGAAGGGAATCTGGGGGACAAGGAGCTTGGTGGCCTTGGGAAAGGACAATAAATGGAAATGGCTGAATGTGCTCTCATGCTGAGAGTGGCTAGAACCAGCAGATGATGGGGAGCTGTGGGGACACAGGTGGGGACATTTACCTGGGTTGATATCACACTCGATTCTCTGAGCAGGTGCTGGTTTGTGACCTGGGCAGAAGCCATCTGCCCCGGAAGCGGAGGGTTGGCGGCCAGCGGGGACTGGGCCCCTGGGGCCGACCTCTGCGGGAGCTGCTGTTGAGTATCCAGCCGCTGGGCGCTGCTGAAGCTCAGGGACACAGCTGGCTGCTGCAGAAACATCTGGAAGCACAACAGAAAAGCCTTTAAGGTAGGTCATGGGGCTTCCACAGGTCTGTACCTGTGTCCTCTGTCCACAGGAAGAGGTCAGCGGTCTCGCTCATTCGCTAAACATGGGGACATGAAGTGCCTGGCTGCTGCAGTAGAGCGCAGGATCCCCAAGAAAGCCTGGTGGGGAGACACTGCCCTGCCTGGGGACAGAGGTCTGATGGTATCCAGATGCTCAGACCCAGATGGTCTCTCAGTACATTACTGTACGTACACCTGAAACTAATGCATGATATAACTGGATATAAACTGTAATTGAATAATGAAATTAAAAATATAAATTGATGTACTTGCACAGAGTCTAGGCTGGCTTATCAATTTGTTACTAGAAGGGAGAAATATCTTGTTACTGGGATGAATGACGTGAGGTTGGGGAGAGGGCTGACCGACCAGGCTCTGGGCCCAGCCGTGAACCTCTGACAGTGTCCAGAGTCTGCTCCCACATTGTAGATGGGCTCCTTCAACCAGTGCTCCCAGTTAGGATGGCAAGTCTGCTCCGTCAATTAGGGGACTCTTAGGAAGGCAAAGGGCACAGACAGTGACAGCACACAAGTCCATGTGCTTTAAAGTCACCATGATGCCGTGCACTGTGTCCCCTCGGACGGCAGACATTCAGAGGTGGTGACGCAAGAGCTGGTGGCTGTGATTGGAAAGGTTTAGGAGAATTTGATCATGTTTATGAAGAGTGTTGAAGTGTTTGTGAGAACTCTGATCTACTTCATTTATAAGTTTGGTGTATTTGGTATAAAAGTATTGCTTAGGTCCTCACAAAGATTTTACCTGTTAGGCTTATAAGTCTTCCCGTTAAGTATGTGAAATGCTTGAAAGATTTAGATATATTCAATTTGTAAATTAATGGCTTTGGAAAGTAACATTGATTATTTACAATCTGTTAAATTTATAAACAAATTGAACATAAATAAAAACAAGTAAACACCTTGCTTCTTTTAGACCAAATCAGTAGATTTGTAAACAAAATACAATCTGTAAGTTAACTCTAAAAGCCTAAGAAAACCAGCTTGAATAGTTTTAATAATAATTTGAACTTAAGACTCTGACTCGGAGTGTCCTGGGCGTTCAGAAGGCCAGCAGGGTTTGCTGCAGCAAGGGGGCGGTGCGCCTGCTCACTGCCGGAGTTCCGGCTCGCACAGTGCCCCTCCCTCCGAGGCCTTGCCCTCCAGAGTTTTCAGGGCAGGCTCTGTCCACCAGCATCTGGAAGTGGAGCCCCAGTCCCTGCACTTGGGGGTCACAGCCACCTAGCCAGTACAGAGCCCACAAGCCGACATCTGCGAGTGGCTCTGGGAAGGCGGGCGCAGAGATGCAGGCAGACGTTTGAGGAGCCGTCGGGCCGGTCGTGTCTGACTCAGAGCTGAGCTCCGCCACCTCCCAGAGGCCCAGGTCCGGGTGGCAGTGGCAAGTGGGACTAGGTTTCCCATCAGGTGCCCCTCCCACCACACCACCTGGTCTCCCCACTTTTTTGTCACAGGTCCAGCCCCAACAGAGGGGCCTGCAGTGTGTAATGAGGGCTCTTTGTCACTTTAGAAGTTAAAAAGAATTTCCTGGACATCCACTATCTCAGATTCAGTCCCCATTCAGTACAGACTCAGTCTGAGGCTTTGTGAATTGTTACCCATTTGCACATGGCTTGTCTACGGCACACAGGTGACCCACACTTCAGCAAAACCCAGTACTCAAACCCAATACCAGACCTTTTTGTCTGGTAGGATGCAATTTACCTTCTGATTATAGGTTAAGTAAATGCAACCTTTATTTATGATAGGCTATACTCTAGCTTAAGTCAGACATGCCTTAGCTCAAAGTCCAGCCCCACCACGTGACCTTGGGTGATTTTCATACATTTCCAAAGCCTTAGTTTCCTCATGAATAAAGCAGTGCCACCAACAGCACACACCTCATAACAGCACACACACTTGATGCGCTGCTGTGCCCATTCATGTATGGTTCATCCTGTTCATCTCCACCCCGCGGTGCCCAACCGAGAGCTGAGCGTCTGCGGGGTGGATGGGTGGACAGACGAAAGATGGGTGGGTGGGTGGATAGAGGGAAGGATAGTTGAATGGAAGAAAGAGAGGGAAAAAGGAAGGGAGGGAGAGAGGGAGGTTGGGAGAGAGACCATCGCTTGCTGTTACAGGTGTCCTTCCAGGTATTTCTTGGATGGCCAGCAGAGGGCACACGTGCCCTGGAAAGGAAGGGAAAGCCAGCCTGCCCAGGACTGCAGGGGGCGACAGAGCCTTCTGCCGAACAGCTCTCCCACCTGGCCTCTTCCTGACTGCCCCAGGCCTCACCGCACCTGAAAGGACCTGTCCTCGTAGCCCAATCTTTTTTCTGAAGAAAATCATACTTAGCAAGCATCGCAGGCACACACTTCTCAACGGAAGCTCTGAGCCAGCAAGTCACATTGGAAAGCCCGATCCGGGTCAAGGACCGTGTGGGGCGACGCTGTGGCTGCTTCTGTTTGCCGGCCCACGGTGAGAATGTGGCTGTGAGGATGCCTTCTCAACAGGGCTCCGGGGCCTCATCCAAAGGGACAGGTCGACAGAGAAAAAATGTACTTCTAATTTTCAAGGACAAATCAAGGCCTACATTTATGTGTGGTTTTTATTATTCTCCTCTGCTTACTTCTATGAATACTAATCATTCCAGAACATTTCGGAAGTACACAACACAGAGATGCTGTGCAGTGAAGCCCATGGGCCATTCCTGAGGCTTCAACAATCACCAGCATTTTCCATAGTTATTTAACCTACCCCTCCCCCGCTGTTTTGGAGTAGAGTAATTTTTACTTTTTCTTTTTTTTTTATCCTAACCTGAGGACATTTTTCCATTTTTTAAATTCAGATAGAGTGGGAGGAAGAGAGAGAGAGAGAAACATCGACGTGAAGGGACACATCGAAAGGCTCCCATCTGCACAACCAACAAGGGCCGGAGACAAACTGCAACCGAGGTACATGCCCTTAGCAGGAACCGAACCCGGGTCTCTCTGGACCGCAGGCCGACGCTCTAACTGCTGAGCCAAACCGGCCAGGGCTTACTTGTTTTTCTTTAGGATGGACTCATATAGTTTTATTTCTAAACAAATATCACACTTTAGTTAAAAATTTGGGAAGGTATTTCTTTAAATTTCTACACTTGCAGAAACACTAGAAGGCAGATTGCTGGAGGCAATGTTCTCTGGTTCATGATCTGCGGATTTCCATGTTCTCTGGAAAATCCCACCGCAGAGACAAGGTCACAGGGATGAACACAGAGAAGGGACGTGTCAGACAGTCTGCGGGCTGGACCCCAGTTCCCCTTGCACACGCAGGTATACACGAGTGTACGCACTTCGGCAGTCAACAAAATACACCGGTCGCGAGGAAGAAGAAGAATGATTACTCGCGAAGGAGGGAAAGACATAACCCTGTGCTGCTGTTCAGATTACAGCCTAATGTTGAGAGGCGGGGCTCTGAGAGGGCGTCCACTCGCCCACTTTGCTTCCGCCGTTTCCGGCTCGGGCTCCCCTTCCTGTTGGTGTGAAGGTCCCACTCAGATCACTGGGGTCAGGCAGATCCGACCAACCGGATCCTGGATCGGAGAAAAGCTTACAGCTGGGAAGAATCAGCGGAAAGGGCTTAGACACCTCAGGGCTTCCATTTCTTTCCATGTAAATGGTGCCATCCTTTCCCCATCAGCTTCAGGGGTGTCCCTGAAAAGGGGGGACGGGAGAGCAGAGCTCCGGAGGCGGGGGCTGTGCTGTAGAGCTTGGGCACAGGGGACACTGGGCAGGAGGTGTGGGGCCGGCTGCTCCGGCCTCTTCCAGGAGCCAGCCTGGGTGCGCAGGGACCTGCACAGGCGCGTCTGGGGAACCCAGGGGCACAGGGCGGCCTGCCCAGGCGGCCCCCTGCCCAGTGACCCACATCACTGTGCTCGCTCAGCCTGCTCATCATGGTGTCGCTGCACTTCCGGTGCCCTGTGGGGGGTGGGGGAGAGGGCAGGAACAGCACTCCAGCCCTTTCCCAGGGGTCGCTTCTGCTTCTCCTAAGGGGGTGCAAAGGCTTACAGTTCTCAGGGCAGATCCCAAGTTAGCTAGAATTATGTTTACAATGAAAGGCCAGGTCAAAAAAAGTGCACTTTGGAAGAAAAACAGTCCTGGCCTGACATAGTGACACTTGGTGAAATAACTCATCCTTGGCACAGATTCAACAGATGAAGGCGCCCCAGATAAAACCCTCCAAAGGACTCCAGGAAGTGACAACAAGGGGGTGGGGGTGTCAGAGCATGCAGAGGCAGATCGGCAGGCCCCAAAGGGGTGGCCTGGAGGTGCCAGGGTGCGGACCCCCAGCCCTGCTCCCTCTGCTACCCCCATCAGCCAGGTATCAGCACTTCCCTAACCCCTCTCCTGCTCAGGTGAGGAGGCAGCTCCGCTCTCTGGGCCGTCTGGCGGTGCTAGGCAAGCAGAGATCCACAGGGGCTGAGGTGTTTCCCCTCAGGATGGGGGCTGCCTCCCAACCCGCGAATAAACAGGCAGAGGCCGGGGGAGCAAAGGGTGCCATGCCGACGTCACGCTCCGCCCAGGGTTGGGGCCCTGGGAGGGTGGGCCAGGACACACTGCAGAGGGGGACAGGCCACACTGGACCTCTGGCCAGGCAGGGGCGGCACCTGGACACTGGAGTCCTGGACCCGGCACAGCTGCTCCTGGACCCGGTGGAGCTCCTCCCGCTGCCTCCGGATGTGGGCCTGCAGCGCCCGCGTCCGCCGCTCCAGCTGCTCCTTGATGCTCTGGAACATGCTGAGCTGCGCTGGACACTTCAAGGTGGGAGACATGACCAGTGAGAGTTACTCCACCTCCCAGGCAGAGGCCGAGTGCTCTGAGCACCCTGCCCACGTCCACTTCTGTCCCTTCTCCACTCTTCAGAGCTGGGCTACAGTCGGCGGGGTGTCCCGGGTCCCCTGGGATTCTCAGGCCCACCAGAATCAGCAGGCCTGATATATAACTGTTGTCTGGAAGGGCCCAGAATCTTGTCACGTGTTTGTAAGCAGTGCTTACAAACTGATATTTCAAATTGCATCAGACCCACAAATGGTTTGGACATGAATTCAAAAGTAGGGCCTCAGACAGCGCTCCGCCCCAATCAAGGGCACGGAGATGAACGTACTTTGGGGTCCTACATCCATTCTCCTTAACCTGGTCCTGGAGAGCAGGGCACATCTGTAAGCTCCCCAGAAAGCTCCCCAGAGCCCCCTGCCCTCCAGCCGGCCAGCCTCCACGCCCCAGGCTCACCTGCGGCCAGCACGGCTCAGAAATCTGAGCAGGAGAGAACTGAGGACACAATCACCTAACACTGACCGAGGAGCCTGGCAGGCGGCGGCCTTGCAGGGGCACTGCGTCCGCTTAGCCTAGAGCATGCTCCCCTGCCCTCCGCCCCCGCAGGGACCAGGCTGGTGTTAGGAAACCCTGCAGTGAACTCGGATCCCTGTCGGCACCTCTCCGCCCGACGCCCAACTCCAGGCCTGCGCGGAGGGTCCGGAGGGGAGGCCCGTCTAGCAGCAGCTGTGCCGGACAGGCTGCGGGGCAGAGACCCTCCGCAGACTGCAAGGATCCGAGCGCTCCGCTGAGGTTTGGAAAGAGAGTTCAATCGAGAAACAAAACAAAGTAGATCAGATGCTTAATTTAAAAAACAAAATACAATGCCGGCTGGTGTGGCTCAGGGCTGAGCGATGTCCCGTGCACCGAGAGGTCAGGGCCCATGCCCAGGTTGTGGGTTAGATCCCCAGTATGGGGCAGGGTGTGCGGGAGGCAGCTGATCCATGTTTCTCTCTCTCTCTCTCAAAAAAAAAAAAAAAAAAAATCAATAAAAACATATTTAAAAAATAAAAATAAATAAAAAACAAAACACAGACGCTTCTGTGGTAAGTCCTAGAAAGCCGCGCTCGGGCTCTCCTGCCTCAGGCGACGTTCTGGGCTGAGGGCCGGGCAGTCCTCTGGGCCACTCTGGGCTCCCCAATGTAACTTCTAGAACAAGGCTTATTTCCCCGGGACCCAGGACCCTCGAGGCCATGCTGGTGGTCAGGGCTGTTTGACAGAGATCCAGTCCCACTTGGAGACATCTCAGGAACAGCGCAGAGCAGCCTCGTTTCCCAGGTAACCATCTCCTAGACCTCGGGTCTGCTTTCCCCTTTCCCAAGGCTGCGTGGGAGCCTCTGTGAGGAGCAGGAGAAGCTGTGGGCGCTGCTGCGTGGGCAGGGCCAGGACGGCCTGACTCGGAGGTCGCATTGTGGAAGAATGTCTTGAGGAATATAGTCATTACTAAGTACAATATGCCTAATACACTACGAACTGTTACTATTAATGAAAAGGAAGTTCAGTAAATGAAAACTCAGAATTCCCAAGGGACCTTAATCACCCATTACATGTTTATCATCAATCAAAGAGACCCTCGGCCCTTCAAGACCCGAAGGTAAAGGGCTTTTGTGTGCCTTTGGGTCGAAAAAGGCACTAATTTCATTATCAATGTGCCTGGAAATTTGAACATAAACCAAGCTCTTTATTTTCATAATGAGGATGAACACAAACTATTCGATTAGTTGCCTCCAAATGAGTAGCTTTCACACTGATGCTCAAACCTGACTCTGGAAGACACGTGTGCTGGCACCTGCTTCTCGGGACACTCGAGACCACTGATGGGCAAACAGTCAGCGTCTCACCGGGCTCCGACACGAGAAGCGTTTCTAAACTCCCTGCGGAAGCACAGCTCGGGGTCCCACTTCCCCGTTGACCCTCCACCTCTTGATCTGCAACCTCCTACCCATCCTTCCAGGCCAGCTCGAGTGTCGAGGACTCTGGGAAGTATGTTGGACTTTTCCAGGCAGAATATTTTCTTACTGGTTCTATGAAAACACATGGCCTGCCATGGTGGTTTCTCTCTGTACATGCCCAACTTTCACTGAAACTCAGTACAAAGAACAAGGGCTATGTTCTAAGCATCTCTGCATCCCTCGCACTAGCTCACAGACAGACCCAAATAGTAACTCATGAATGTTGTTGGAACAAGGAAGGAGCTACTCAGCAAAGCCATGACCACCTCCCCTTTCTAACAAATGTGATATTTATAGTACTGCGCTCAAAGCTTTTACAGCCTTTCAGAGTCTTCCTATGATATTTGGCCTAATTCAAACCTTTTCGAAAATATCGGCAAATTTGGAATCATAAAAAATGAGAGGAACACAGAAAAGTGGCAGAGAGATGAACAGATTACTTAAGAGACTGGAAACAGACACTACAGAAAAGAACAGAGAGAATGTCTCTGGAGAGCATAAGAATGGCGAGCAAGACCGATGCAGAAACAGTCCGTAGCTCAACACACTCCATCTGCGTGGCGGGAGCCTTGGTTCGGTACCTACCTGCACGCTACACATCAAAACCAACGTGCCCACACAGTCAAGGGAGAAACATGTTCTGTCTTAGAGAATTCCCACTGCCAGATTCCCCTTCCCCTCGTTCCAGACTCACCTGTGCCAGGGGGCCAGGTGGGTTCTGCAAAATAGTCTGAGGCAGGAGCTGCTGTGCAAGGTCACAGGACAATGGCACAGGCAGGGGAGCCTGGGGACGAGAAGGGCTCTGTTAACAGACACTGCTGTGGGCTGTTACAGAGGTACAGGGGTGCTGTCTTTCAGCCAGCTGAGATTTCTGGCTTAAAGGAGGCCCTTCTGTACTAGAGTGAAGAGTTCACTTCTGGAAGGTTTGGTGTGTGTTTTCTGGGAAAGGCAGGATAGCAGGCTGGTGCAAGGTGCAGGTGGTTTTTAAGCGAGGTTTTGGGGTCACTCGGGGTGTGTGATGCCTCCTGCCAGAGTGTGCGTTGCACAGCTGCTGCCACCTGCCAGGGCTTGGCAGCTCTGTGCCACTCCTCCCTTCCCTCCTGTTTAGGTTCCAATTTTGGTGGATTTAGTTGCTCTTCTTCCAAACGGATGAATTCTAAGCAGTATCACTGAGCAGTATGAATGGGGTTGTAGTGGTAACCAGTGTTGGCGTTGCATATGGTCCTCACCCTTTCTGCTCAACACCAATGCAGATGGACAGTCACACCATACACACCTATGTTCATGAACTCATCTGGGCAGTGAATATTGGGCGCAATTCACCAGGCTCTGCCTGGAATATGTTGGAAAGACTCCTGGGAAGTCATGTGAGTGACAGACCTTGTTCTCTGATCAATTGGGTAGGTGGGGAGAATATGTGTAAAAGAAGATATGAAACCCTCCATATCATAGGCTGAGGTTTTAAAACAAAAGTAAAAGGGGAGAGGGGCTTAAGATGGTGGTAGAGCAGGTGGATCTTTCTTGCATCTTCTCCCAGAACCAAACTGGAATTAAAACTAAATTGGGGAGCCATAGCAGGTATTGCTCAGTGGTTAGAGCATTGGACCCTGCAACAAAGTGTTTTGGATTTGATTCCTGGTCAAGGGCATGTATCTGGGCTGCAGATTCGATCCTGGGCCCCAGTTGGGGCACATGCAGGTGGTATCTACTTGATGTGTCTCTCTCACATTGATGTTTCTCTCTCTCACCCTCCCTCCCTTTCACTTTCTCTAAAAATAAACAGAAATTGCCTAGCCAGTGTGGATCAGTGGATTGAGCAGCATCCCACGACTGAGAGGTCCAGGTTCGATTTCTGGTCAGGGTACATGCCTGGTGGTGGGCTCAGTCTCTAGTTGGGGGTGTGTAGGAGGCAGCCAATCGATGTTTCTCTCTCCCATTGATGATTCTATCTCTCTCTCCCTTCCTCTCTCTCTAAAAAAATCAATAAAAACACATGAAAAAAAAATAAAAATAAAAATATTCTCGGGAGAGGATTAACAAAAAAACAACACAACAAAAAACAACTAAATGGGGAAATAGTCACCTTGATTTACCAGTTGAAAACTAGTTGAAGAGGAGACATTTAGACAAGGAGGAAATGAAACCACCTGAAGACTGCACCTGTACAACAGCTCGCACAATGTGGTCGGTATTGAACCTCACAGTCAGCCATCCTGAGAGGAGATCCCACCCACAAACATGGCAAAAAAAATCAAGATCCAATTACAATAGAAGAGCCCACATAACCTACATCCAGCTCAGGAGTACGAGATGGCCCCACTGGGCCCCACAGGACATTTGCTACAAAGGCCACCCCACAAAGACTGGGAGTCACAGCAGTTATATCTAGTACATAAAACAAACACAAAATGACAACTAAAATGGGGAGACAAAGAAACAACCCAAAAATGAAAGAAAAGGAGGTATATACAAAAAAAAAGAAGTTAAATGAGATGGAGGTAAACAATTTACCAGACATAGAACTCAGAGTAATGGTTATAAAGATGCTCAAGGAACTTAACTGGAACTATAAGGAACATTCATTCACACGAAAAAGGACATGGAAAGCATTGATAAGGAGCAGTTGGAAATAAAGAATGCCACCGGAGAAAATGAAAAGCAAGTTTGATGAAGCAGAGGATCAGATCAGGGATTTGAAAGACAAGGTAGGAAAAAACACTCAATTAAAGCAGCAAAAATAAAAAAAGACACTTAAAAAGCATGAGGAGAGTTTAAAAAAACTTTGGAATGATATGAAACAAAACAACATCTGCATCATAGGAGCACCAGAGGGAGAAGAAAGTGACCAAGAAATAGAGAACTCATTTGAAGAAATCATGACAGGAAATTTCACTAATCTGGCAAAGAAAAAAGCCACCTAAGTTCAAGAAACACAGAGTGTCCCAATCAGGATAAACATAAAGGGACCCACACCAAGACACATCATAATTAAAATGGCAAAAGTTAAAGACAAGGAGAGAATTTTGAGGACAGCAAGAGATAGACAGTCAGTTACCTAAAAGGGATCTCCCATAAGGCTGCCAAATGATTTCTAAAAATAGGCAGTACAGGCCAGAAGGAAATTACATGAAGTATTCAAAGTAATCAAAAGCAAAGATTTGAAACCAAGACTACTCTATCCAACAAGGCTATATTTTAAAATTGAAGGTGGCCCAGCCAGTGTGGCTCAGTGGTTGATAACTGACCAATGTACCAAGCGGTTGCTGGTTTGATTCCTGGTCAGGGCACATGCCCAGGTTGTGGGCCAAATCCCCAGTGGGGGGCATGCAGGAGGCAGCCAATTGATGTTCTCTTTCATCGATGTTTCTCTCAAATCAATAAAGAGAAAAATTTTAAACTGAAGGAAACTGAAGGTGAAATAAGGAGTTTCCCTGACAAAGAAGGCTAAATGAGTTTATTATCACTAAACCAGCGTTGCGAGAAATTCTAAAAGGACTGTTGTAAGAAGAAGAAATATATATATATAGAATAAAATAGGCATAAAGAACAAAAATGGCAATAAGTAACTATCATTAATAACCTTAAATGTAAATGCATTAAATGCTTCAATCAAAAGACATAAGAAACCATGGCCCATATATGTACCATCTACAGGAGATCTGCCTCAGAACAAAAGATTCACACTGGTTGAAAGTGAAGGAATGGAAAAAGTTTTCCATGAAAATGAAAACGAACAAACAAACAAAAGTGGGGGAGGCAATATTGATATCTGACAAAATAAACTTCAAAACAGGAGACAAAGAAGGTCACTACATAACACTAAAAGGATTGATTCAACAAGAGGATATAACGCTGGTAATCATATATGTACCCTATATGGGAGCACCTAAATGTATAAAAAAAACTCCTGGAGGACTTTAAGGGGGAGATCGACAGCAATATAGTCATAGTAGAGGATTTTAACACCCTACTGATATCACTGGATAGATCTTCCAGACAAAAATTCAACAAGGAAACAGTGATCTTAAATGACACAATAGATAAGATACATTTAATTGATATTTATAGAACATTTCATCCCAAAGCTTCAGAATATACATTCTTCTCAAGTGCATATGGAACACTCTCAAAGTTAACATAGACCATATGTTAGGACACAAAATAAGTCTCTACAAGTTCAAGAATATTGAAATCATATCAAGCATCTTCTTAGATCACAGAGGCATGAAACCAGAAATCAACTACAATAAAAATAACTCAAAAGCATTCAAACACACAGAGGTTAATAGCATGTTATTAAACAATGAATGGATTACCAATGAGATCAAGGAAGAAATTTAAAACTTCTTGGAAACAAATGAAAATGAACACACAACAATCCAAAGTGTATGGGACACAGTGAAAGCAGTCCTGAGGGTGAAGTTCATAGCAGTACAGACCTACCTAAAAAAGCAAGAAAAATCTCAAATAAATATTCTAAGCCTATACTGAAAGGAACTAGAAAAAGAACAAAAAGAAAAGTCCAGAGTAAGCAGAAGAAAGGAAATAATAAAGATCAGAGCAGAAGTAAATACATAAAGACTAAAAAAATAAAAATACAAAAGATCAATAAAACCAAGAGCTGGTTCTTTGAAAAGATAACAATACTGATGAACCTTTAGCCAGTCTGATCAAGAAACAAAGAGTGAATCCAAATAAATAAAATAAGAAATGAAAGAGGCAAAGTAACAACTGACATCACAGAAATACAAAGGCGTGTAAGAAAATATCATGAACAACTATATGCCAACAAACTGATGACCTGGGAAAAATGAATAAATTTTTGGAAATATACCATCTTTCAAAACTGAATCAGGAAGAATCACAAAATTTGAATAGACTGATTACAACTAATGAAATTGAAGCAGTAATAAAAACAATAACAACAACAACAACAAACTACAAGCAAACAAAGTCCTGGACCAGGTGGATTCATAGGTGGGTTTTACCAAACATTCAAAGAAAAACTAACACCTATTCTTCTCAAACCCTTCCAACAAATTTAAGTGGATGGATGGGAAAACTTCCAAGCTCTTTTTATGAGACCAACATTATCCTAATTCCAAAACCAGCTAAAAACACTTACAAAGAAAGAAAATTAGAGGCCAATATCCCTGATGAGCATCAATGCTAAAATATTTAACAAAATATTAACAGATTGGATCCAACAATACATTAAAAAGATCATACTCCATGACCAAGTGGCATTTATTCCAGGGATGCATGGTTGGTACAATATTCACAAGTCAATAAATTTGATACATCACATAAACAAAATGAAAGATAAAAATCACATGATTATTACAATATACACAGAAAAAGCATTTGAAAAAATCCAGCACCCATTTTTGATAAATCTCTGAGCAAAGTGGGAATAGAGGGACCATAACTCAACATAGTAAAGGCCACATATGACAGACCTACAGCCAACATCATAATGGGAAAAACTAAAGTGTTTCCCTTGAGAACAGGAACGAGACAGGAATTGTCCACTTTCACCACTCTTATTTAATATAATACTGGAAGTCCTAGCCATAGCAATCTGAGAAGAAATAAAAATAAAAGGCAATCAAATTGTAAAGGAGGACATAAAATTACCATTATTCACAGATGACTTGATATTGTACATAGAAAACCCTAAAGATTCTACCAAAAAACTGCTAGATCTAATAAATGAATTTGGCAAAGTAGCAGGATACAAAGTTAAAACCTAGAAACCAATGGCATTTTTATACACAAATAATGAACTCCCAGAAAGAAAAAGTAAAAAAGCAATCCCATTTATCATTGCAAGAACAACAAAATAAGATACCTAGGAACAAACTTGATCAAGGGTGCAAAAGTTCTGTACTCGGAAAACCATAGGGCATTAAAAAAAGAAACAGAGGAAGAAGATACGAACAAATGAAAGCATATACCGTGTTCATGGATTGGAAGAATTAATATCATTGAAATGTCCACACTACCCAAAACAATCTATAGCTTCAATGCAATCCCTATTAAAATACCATTGGCATATTTCACAGAACTAGAAAAAATATTCCCAAAATATATATGGAACCAATAAAGACCCTGAATGCTGCAGCTATCTTGAGAAAGAGAAACAAAACTGAAGGGATCACAATACTGGACATCAAACTATACTACAAAGTTATTGTAATAAAAACAGCCTGGTACTGACTGGCACAAGAACAGGCATATAGAATTATGGAACAGAACAGAGAGCCCAGAAATCGACCTACGTCAATATGGTCAATTAATATCCGGCAAAAGAGGTAAGAACATACAATGGAATAAACACAATATCTTCAATAAATGGTGTTGGAAAAATTGGACAGGTACATTCAGAAAAAAAGAAAAGAAAAGAAACTAGACCACCAAGTTATACCATACACAAGAATAAACTCAAAATGGATAAAAGACTTAAATGTAAGTCACATAACCATAAAAATCATAGAAGAAAACATAGGCAGTAAAATCTCAGATATCTCACGTAGCAGTATTTTTCACTGATATATCACCTATGGCAAAAGAAACAAAAATAAACAAATAGGACTACATCAAACTAAAAAGCTTCTCCACAGCAAAAAAAACCATTATCAAGAATGTAAAGGAAAAACCCATGGTGTGGGAGAACATATTTGCCAGTGGTACATCTGATAATGTGTTAATTTCCAAAATCTGTAAAGAACTCATATGTCTCAACAAAAAGAAGACAAACAATCCAATTAAGAAATGGGCAAAATACCTGAATAAACAGCTCTCCAAAGAGAACATACAGATGACCAACAGACATATGAAGAAATGCTCAATGTCACTAGTCATCAGAAAAATGCAAATTAAAACTACAATGAGGTATCACTTCACACTTGCCAGAATGGCTACTATCAATAAAGCAACAAACAAGAAGTGCTGATGAGGCTGTGGAGAAAAGTGAACCCTAGAACACTGCTGGTGGGAATGCAGACTGGTACAGCATTGTGGAAAACAGTATGGAGTTTCATACTTGAAAGAATTAAAAATAGAACTGCTGCCCTGGCTGGTTTGGCTCAGCAGTTAGAGCGCCGGCCCACGGACCAGAGAGCCCAGGCTTGGTTCCCGCTAAGGGCACACACCTTGGTTGAAGTTTGTCCCCAGCCCCGGTTGGGGTCGTGTGGGTGGCAGCCAGTTCATGCGTGTCTCTCTCTCTTCCACCCCTTTCTCCATCCTGCTCTATCTCAAGATAAATGCAAAGATGTCCTCAGGTGAAGATAAAAACATAAAATAATGGAACTGCTGTTTGACTCAGCAGTTTCACTTGTGAGAATATATCCTAAGAATCCAGAAACACCAATCAGAAAGAATATATGTACCCCTGTGTTCATAGCAGTTTTATTCACAATAGCTAAGATCTAGAAACTGCACAAGTGCCCATCAGTAGACGAGTGGATAAAAAATCTATGGTACATTTACACAGTGGAGTACTATGTGGCTGTAAAAAAGAAGAATCTCTTACCCTTTAGACAACATATATGGACCTGGAGATTATTATGCTAAGCAAAATAAGCCAGTCAGAGAATGACACATATCACATGATCTCAGTTACATGTGGAATCTAATGAACGAAATAGGTCCAGAGACACGGAAGCATGGAACTGAGTGACAGATCTCAGTGGAGGTGGGGGCAGGAAGAGATCAACCAAAGAATTTATAGGCGTATGTGCGTAGCCCATGGACACAGACAATAGTGGGGTGAAGGCCTAGGGTGGGGCAGGGGCTGGGTGTAGCGGGGCAAATGGGGGAAAATGTTGGACATCTATAATACTGTCAAAAATAAAAATAAATTAAATGAAATAAAAGTATAAGGGTTCTTTTGTTGTTGTTGTTGTTTTTATCCTCACCTGAGGACATTTTTCCATTTTTAGTTCAGAGAGTGGGAAGGAGAGAGGAAGAGAGAGAGAGAAACATAAACATCGACGTGAAAGGGACACATCAAGTGGCTGCCACCCACACGACCCAACCAGGGCCGGAGACAAACTGCAACCGAGGTACGTGCCCTTAGCGGGAACCGAACCCGGGTCTCTCTGGACCACAGGCCGACGCTCTAACCGCTGAGCCAAACCGGCCAGGGCAAGAGGAGACTTAGTTTTGAGTGGGATGTCCCAGGCACAGTGCTAAACGGGACTGGGTGTGTGGTCGCAGCTGTGGCCCTGCAGGCAGGGGAGAGGCCACAGGAGGCGCGGTGGCAGAGGGCGCCCTGCACAGCATGTACCAGCAGCATGGCCGTCGCCGCTTGGAGCTCGTCTAAGGGCGGCTGGAGGGAAAGACAGTGGTCTCTGTCAGATTCCACTGGAAAAGAAAATGTGTCACCCATGCTTTTCAAACTGTGCACATAATCCTTGTGGTGACAGCAGGTAAGAAGGTGGACGTTTACTTCCACCTCCCAAATGTCAGCCAGAGGCGGGTATGGGTATTTGGCAACTGTCTGGAGGTGGCCTCCAGACACCTCGAAGAGGGGAGTGTGTGGTGCTCTGACAGGACAGGTGAAGCGCGGCCGAGGTGGTGCTGCGGGCTTCGCAGGCTGGGTCAGGAGGGCCGCGAGGCCCCGCCCGGCTCCGTGGAAAGCTCCCCTCCAGACCCTGCCTCTGGGCCCCCAGCAGCGAGCCAGGAGCTCAGAGGGAGAGGCCTGCGCAAGTCAGAGCTGGGCGGTGTCCGCGGGCGCCCAGCTGGCCACCAGCCCAGCCCAGGTGCTGGGCTCTTCCGTGCAGACACACCTGGGGCAGGGCTCCCCGTCCTGGCCGCGAGGCCTCTGACACCACGCAGCTGAGAGGAGCCATCCCCACTGGGCCCTTTCTGCATTTCTGACCCCGAATCTGTGAACTTGAGAAATGACAGTTGCTGATGTCTTTGGTTGGGCGTGGTTTGCTTCATGGCTGGGTAAGGGAGCACCACGGCGGCCAGTGAGCTTCCTGAGGCCACACTGCCTGGTGCTCTGGGAGGAAGATGAGATCTAAAGTAGGCGGGTCCTGATCGTGTGCCCCAGGGGCTCTGGGGGTATGACCCTAGGTTTGAAGTTTTGAGTTTCATCTTTAGAACTCATTTGGAATTTGCATTTTAGGGATATACATCCATGTTGGTTTTGGTATGCAAATGTTTAAAATTAGTTGTCAATGAAATCACCTAGCCCCGCCTCCATCTCTCAGTAGATGGGTCTCGGGCAGACGCAGCACCAGCACGCCATCTGTGGCCTCGCAGGCCTGGCGCAGGGCAGAAGGCTGGGGCTGCACACATACCCGCAGCGTGGCTGCTTGGCTGAGCGCTGGCACAGGGCACTCCTGGGGCAGGGTGGCCAAGCTTGGCACAGCGGTGGTGCTGCCCTCTGCCATCAGCTTGCTTGGAGTGGCTGGAAGAAAGCAACGGATTACCTTCCTGACTCACACAGCCTCAACAGCTTTCCGAGCACGAGGGCAGTGACGGGCATGGGAACCGGCTTGGCTGCGGCCTCTGATAAAGGAGTCCAGCAGGAAGGGCAGTGGGTCCCAGAGCCACAGAGTTCTGCCAGCCTCCACCCTGGCCCGGGACCCTCCCGAACTTCATACCCACCGCTTGCTGCAGCCCCTGCCCGACCACACACCCCGGCCGGGTGCGCAGGTCCCACACCGTCTGTTTCCTGCGACAGCTGGGGAAGCACAGTGCGGAGCGGTAGAAGGCAGGGCGCCATGGGCCAGCGCGTGCTTCCGCTCAGGCCTGGGGCCCTCTGTGGGGCTCTGCTCCCCCCACGCCCACTGTCCCTCCATGACATCACACTCACAGGTGGACTCTGACGTGGCCACGTGTGAGGACGTACGGGAGCTTCTTGAGGATGCCGATGGCGAGTGACTTGTGCTAAGGCCCGCGGTGCCCAGGCCGAGCGCATCGAAGTGCTGCTGAGGTTCCAGGCTCGAGCCCTTGTCCTGAAACACAAACGCACACTCGCGTCCACGTGACAGTGAAGGACATGACTGCAGTCTCCACTGCAGGAAAACGCAGAGGCTGAGAAGCCCTGCAGCTCCAGGGGGACACGGGCCGCGGGGCGGAATGTCTAGTATCTGTACAGACATTCGAGAGGCTGCGGCCGCAGGCACGGTCGCAGCACTGCCTCACTTTGCATCTTCAATTTTAGAGTTTTGTAAGTGACTCTGCATTTTATTTTTCCTCAGTGTTGTCACCTCACTGCCCAGAGGGGCAGAGGCAGGTTCTGGAAACACTGCAATGGACGTAGGCCTCTGGACCCCCCCAGGCACGCCTCCCGCCGCCTCTCCCGCGCCCTCCTCTGCAGCCCCGGGCTCCTGCCCTGCGGCCCTGCACCCGAGCTGTGCTGCACCCTACATTTCTGTCTCAGATACAGCATGACGCCAAAGCATAAGTATAAGAAAATGGGTAGAATAATTTTTAAGCTAAAGAAGAAAAGTGATAATGACTCTCCTGAGCCATGTTCCGACCGAGTCTCAGAAGGAGGGTGCGCCTGCCATCACCCACTGGGCTGCGTGGACAGGTGGCCACGTCCAGGGGTCTCGGGGATTGACCCCTGGGTCCACATCGCCATCTGTCTGAGGCGTGGCTCCCAGGAGGGTCGGTGCTGTGTGTGCTGGTGCAGGGCTGACACGAGTGTGAGACCTACAGGCCTTTGTGCAGGACGGAACTGGACGGTTTGCCTGGCTGCTTTAAATGCCAATTTTGAGACTCTGCAGCTTAATTGAAGAGTCTCCCCTCGGTCTCCCCCTAGAGGGGTCCCTGGCCCGCAGCTGTCTGAGTACTGCGTGGTCCCAGTCCCGAGACATGAGGACAGAAGTGAGGCACTGAGAGCGTCAGCCATTTGGGGCCACCCGCCCCGCACCCAGGCGCAGGCTCCACCGGCAGACGTGTCAGTGACGGGTCCACTGCCACTGATGGTGTGAAGTACTGTCCCGAAGCTCTTCCTGTGCCCTGGCCGGTGTGGCTCAGCGGTTAGAGCCTCGGCCCGAGGACCAGAGCGTCCCGGGTTCGGTTCCCGCTAAGGGCACGCACCCTGGTTACTGTTTGTCCCCGGCCCCGGTTGGGTCGTGCAGGTGGCAACCAGTCGATGTGTCTCTCACATCAATGTTTCTCTCTCTTTCTCCTTCTCTCCCTCCTGCTCTATCTGAAGATAAATGTAAAGAAAATGTCCTTAGGTGAGGATAAAAAAATAAATATTAATAAATAAAAGGAGCCTTGTAACCTGGCGCCTGAGAGTGTGTGTATTGACACAAAAAGGCGTGTTTCTAAGACGTCCCATGGAGCTTTGGGGTTCCTACACGATCACAAATTCAAGAATATCTTTCAGACTGGACGACATACTGAGCCTACTGTTTAGCTGGGATGTTTGCTCTCTAATCCCAGCATCTGCACCTGCTTCAGAAATGGCCTCTGGGCAACAGGGTTCTGGTCTCCTGGAAAGCTGCAGACATAGGAGCCTGGCCACGGGGCCCGGAGCACAGCCTGGGTGCAGGCGTGGGAGCCTGGCCACGGGGCCCGGAGCACAGCCTGGGTGCAGGCGTGGGAGCCTGGCCACGGGGCCCGGAGCACAGCCTGGGTGCAGGCGTGGGAGCCTGGCCACGGGGCCCGGAGCACAGCCTGGGTGCAGGTGTGGGAGTCTGGCCACGGGGCCCGGAGCACAGCCTGGGTGCAGGCGTGGGAGCCTGGCCACGGGGCCTGAAACACAGCCTGGGTGTGGGAAAGAGGTCGGGCCCCTTGAGGGGAAGTGCGTGTTGGTGGGAGGGACCCATGGCAGGAGCTGGATCACCACATGGAAGGTGGTGTCCTGGAGGCAGTGGGCCATACAGAGGCTAAGGAAGAGTCAGGGGCCCCGGAATTACTTTTGCCTCAATGGGATGATGGACACCCCCCCACACACTTTTTTTTCTGTGGGATAGATACAAAGTGGACTTCTCAGAACCATTCTCATAAGGCCAGAGAGTCACCAAACCGGGTTTGAGTCCAGAGGCTGTTTTTAGCTCTGCACGTCCTGACCTTTGGTGCTTCCAGGGGCTGAGCTCCCCCTGCGCGTCTGCGCCCACTGCAGGAGGAGGGCGGAGGCCAGCAGCACCCACCTCGCAGTGCGGGCCCACAGGTGCACACCTGAACCACGGACAGTGCCGGGAACCCCGAGGGCTCACTGCACAGACCTGCTGTTTCCGTTGTGGTTTTAGGACAGCCCCCCGGGTGGGGATCAGCATACCTTCAGTGCTGAAGGCGGGATGGCCTGGGATGGCGGGTCTTCCGAAGCCAGCTCCTGCCTCCTCTCCACCCGGACATCCGAGTAACTATTGGGAAATCGAGAGACCACAGTTGGGTGGGACAGCGCAGGATGACAGCGGCAAAGAGGGCTGCGTGGCACATCGAGGTCCCCACGAGCGCCCTCCTGGAACAGTCACCACGAGGGGACGAATCCTGGTGTTTGCCTGAGGACGGAGGTCTGTTCAGGCCTAACTGCACTGCGGGTCTTCCACGGCGACGATCGGAGTATCTTCCTCTACAGGGTGTTTTGTTCTCTTCTCCTTCACTTACCTCCCCCAGCCCCACAAACCTCGAACATAATTGTCCAAACACATTTTCATCTATAAGAGAAACCTCAGCCTTCAATAATTAGCAACTTTTCCTAAAACCTACTCAGTCTAGTCAGTGGGTAAGAAGAAGAGACACAACCTTTTCAGTAATTACAACCTGCAGAAAATTTTCCCTCAAAGAAACCTGAAACTAGCCAGACCCAGACTGCCGATTCATGTACGGACCCACTTTTTAAACCCTGGGTAAATCAACTCAGTGTGGTTCCCAGTGACGGCCTGTGTGGGGTGCCGGCTGCACACGGACCTTGGGAGGGGACAGTGGTCTCGGGTCTCCAGGACGCTTGTTCCCTGACTTTCTCTGAGAGTTTCTTTCTAGGGTCTGGGGAAGGGAGGGTGGAGAGAAAGGGAAGGGCCAAGGACAGGGGCTGCAGAGCAAGGTGTGGGTAGGGTCCAGCCTCCCCAGCACGGAGGCCTCAGGCACAGGCCCAGGCCAGTGGCAGTGGCAGGACCGGCCACGGAGTCAGACAGCTGCTGGTGCCCGGGGCTGGGCTCGGGAGCCCAGATGAAACCCCTGTGAGCAGGCTCATAGGCCACGATGACCTCATTTCTGCTCCCTGCTCTCTCCCCAACTTGCTAATGAAGAGTGATTGATGTGTGGGCTGTTCCTATGCATGTGTATGTATGTTTCTGCCTGCTTGCTCACCACCTGTCTGCAAGTATCCAGAAAATGCAGCGTGTGTGCAGTCCCCTTTGTGTGTGTCACGCATCTTTCTGCCCGCCTGTTACTGATCACCCACCTGCCACGTATGAAACGTGGCATACATGTCTGTCTGTCCACCTAGCATCTATTTTTTGCCCTTCTCTGTACGGTTTAAACTGGTCGATGTTGTTAGCATCTCTAGTGGGGAAATGACACCCGTCCTGTGCCTTTGGGACCGACCATGTGCTGGCCGTGTCCACGGACGGCCGCGCGTGCTGGCTTCCCGGGGGCCTGCCCACTGCCCAGGCTGGTTCCCAGAGGTGCCCGGAACCGGGGGACCCTGCCCGCGCCTCCCGGCTCCTTTCCCAGCACAAGCCGCAGCGGCCGGCAGGCTTCTTGAAGCGTTAGAAATGAAGCAGACTGTGTGTTTAAGTTACTTAGAGGCAGAATCTTAACTTTCCTTGCGAAGAGTGAGGCGGGAAGGCTGCCGGACAAACGGAGAAGAGGGAGGTGTGTGCGCGGCTCAGCGAAGCAGCAGCTGGACACTGCCGCAGCCGGCAAGAGCGCAGAGGGGACTGGACGCTGGCGGACACCCGGGCTGGCACAGAGCTGGCTGTGTGGGAGGCCCCTGAGCCCTGACCCCTCTGCTCACTGCCGAGGGTGCCCTGGCCCGTGGGAGAATCCCGGCCTTGAACTTGGCCCTCAGAAGCTGGGACCGCCCCGGCCCGGCGGTGCGCACCTGACCACGGAGTGCGTGCACACGACGAACTCGGGCTTGGAGCTCCACTGGTGGTAGGTGATGTAGTAGCGGGTCTGCAGCCACAGCCACTGCTGGCCTTTGGTCAGGAACCGGTAGCAGCAGGACTTCCCTTTGCCGAACTGCATCACTGCTGGTGGGATGGAAACTGTGACAAACGCTGACACGGAAACCATCTTCCCCCGAAAGTGACTGTTAAAAATACCAGCTTTCAGAACAGCAATGTCAAGCCCAGTTATTCCCCAGCTGGTGCTGTGTGTAAGTGGCTGTCGGATAGTGGGAAAGGGGGATGAGTCTCAACAATCGGGAATGACCCACGTGTCTTCCCAAACGCCCAGAAGCCTAGAAGGGTCTCAAATACGGGCAGGTGCAGACAGACTCTCAAAAGGGGGTATAATCGGAGAGAGGCCCAGGGTTTCCTGGCGCTCCCCCTGGGCTGCAGGTGACCTGTGGCCAGCATGCTCTGACCAGAGTCTGCTGGCCTGTCGGCGGCTCTTCCTCGGTGCACCTGGTGCTGAGGCAGCCGGCGGGCCCACCCAGGCCACTGCTGCGGGCTCTGTGCCCCGTGGCAAGGCTCGCCGGGTGCCCAGGGCAGCAGGGGCTGTGGGCTGCCGGCCTCGCAGGACAGACACTGCCCTGAGGGCCCCAGGAAGAGGGGCCCTTTGGGTCTCATTGCTTCAGTGCCTGGGGTTTAGCACTTTTTTTTTATCCTCACCAGAGGACATTTTTTTTTTGTTTGTTTGTTTTTTTTGTTCAGATAGAGTGGGAGGGAGAGAGGGGAAGAGAGAGAGAGAGAAACATTGATGTGAAAGGGACACATCGAGTGGCTGCCACCCGCACGACCAACCAGGGCTGGGGACAAACTGCAACCGAGGTACGTGCCCTTAGTGGAATCTGAACCTGGGTCTCTCTGGACCGCAGGCCGACGCTCTAACCACTGCTGAGCCAAACCGGCCAGGGCGCTTAAGCACTTCTTATGGTTAAGAGAAATCCCAACTGGAAAACTAAAGCTACAGAAGGAGCTGCAGACTTGGAACGCGTAGTGTCGGGGGGCAGCCCAGGAGGGTGGATGGAGTGGGCACGTCCTGCCCGAGCCACGGCCACCGAAGGTGCTTCCACAGACACGGCCGTTCTCCACGAGCCTCGCGGAGCCAGGCTGGGAGCAGTCAGGCAGCCCCAGTTTCCGCGAGCCCGCCAACCACGGCAGTCCTGCGATCCCCTTGGCCTGTGGGGGTGCCTGTGAGTCAGCAAGGCCACAAAACTCCTCCTGATGCCACGTGGCTGGTCAAGACCCCCTCCTGGGAGCAAGGGTTACGGTTTCAAGATTAGCCTGAAATCTAACAGCGGGTCCCGCGGACAGCAGCCGGCTCCTCCTTGAGCAGAGAAGGGGGAGAAGGCAGAGCGGGGTGTGGAGAAGGCGTCTATCCAGGTGCAGTGTTGGTGGTTAGTCCACAGATCGGGATCCATACGCCAATGTCACGACACATTTTCCTGTTCAAAGCAAGGACTTGGCACGAGAAATATGCCTTTCAATGGTTGCTTCTTGAAGCTCTTGCTAAGTGAGAATCCAGACGTGCTCTGCCTTCCACACCTCCCTACCTCCCTCAGCTGGATGAGGCGCCCCCTCGGAGCCCCAGTGTCCTGTGTACACCCCCTCTGGTGCACCAACAACATCCTATGAAGTCACCAATTTCTGCTTTTGCCTCAGACCCTGCTGCTCCAGAGCAGCACGGAGAGTCTGGTCATCGTCACGTCCTGGGCTGAGCGGAGGACCTGGCCTGAGCGTATGACCAATGCATGTCTGCCCGCTAAAGAACAGTTACGTGAATTCAGCATTTTGTCTTTGAAACTCTTATTAGCTCACTTACAGAGAATGGCCAGCACTCGAATCCCTTAAGTGAGGTGAAGTAGCTTGTGTATCTAAGGGACACGGGGCGGGCGCTGGGGGCACAGCCAGGCAAGTCCCTCCAGGTAAAAACACACTCAGGGCAGTGCAGACCCCCCCCCCCACACCACCACCACACTCCTGGCCACGCCAGAGAACAGTCTCCACCTCAGAAAGAAACCGAGCAGCAGGCAGGCTTCCAGGCGGAGGCCCGCGGGGCTCTGTGGGCGGAGCTGGCGCCCGAGCGCGGGCTGGGGGGGCAGTACTCACGGTGCTGGTGGCACCTGGCCAGGAGGTCCAGGTCGTCGATGTGGTAGTAGTCATAGCCCGAGGTTCCCAGAACTTCAAAAGGCAGGTACCCTATGATTGGGGGGGCTCTGCCAAGGACAAGGGGTGCTTCGTCAGAAAGGGCTCCCGATGGGGCCACGCCTCCACGCGGAGGGCATCCTTCACACGCCCTCGTTTCTCAAGAACAGGGACAGGAAAGTAATTTTGCAATGGCCAAAACCGGGGAGGCTGTGCTTCCCAAAGTACTCAGTTCCCTTGGCATAACCTGGCCCAAATCATAACAAATTTTATCACTACTAAATAATTAAAAAGCTATAGATTTGCCCGGCCAGTGTGGCTCACTGGTTGAGCGTCGACCCATGCACCAAGAGGTTGCCGGTTCAATTCCCGGTCAGGACACATGCCCAGGTTGTGGGCCCGATCGCCAGTGGGGGGCGTGCAGGAGGCGGCCAGTCGATGTTCTCTCTCATCAATGTTTCTATCTCTCTCTCCCGCTCCCTTCCTCTCTCTAAAATCAATAAAGAAAACAAAAAAGCTACAGATTAGGCTGACCTAACTCCAAAGTGTAATAAAAATTGGAGGTTGGGGAGGAGAGATTGCTAGTTCTCAAACTGAAAAATGCCACAGAATAAAGATTGGGCTAAAGAGACAAAAGGGAGTGGAAAGAAATAAGAAGTTTCTCTTACTTCAGCTCCTCCTTCGTGGGAGCTGGAGAGGGTCCCGACTGGCAGGGGTGGGGACGGGGCTGTGCCCCAGAGATGTGCCCAGGCCGGCGTCTGGCGCTCCTGCCACGGTCTGACCAAAGCACAGAAGTAGCCTCGCCCTGGGCTGGACACTGCGTTTCCTTCTGCCAGAAAGTCCTTCTCCTTGAAGGGACCAGGCCAGCCCCTTTCTCCCAAGGACAGCATGGCTCAGCAAACAAACACTGGAATCCAACCCAAATGTTTTTCTTTTCACAAACCTGTGATCCAGAAATAAAAACTTCCATTCCAAGCTATGCCTCGAAGTGAATTCCTCCACAGGCTCGTCAACCACGCACATTTCCTGCATCAGAAGGGAAAGGTGTGCTGGAGCGACCTCGCCAGGGCTGTCCAGAGCTGGCCGGAGCAAGTCTTCCGCTTGTGCCGGCCCGGAGCTCATCCTCTGTAGCGAGTCTGGGTGCGCGCTGAGACTACATTTATTTCACAAGCTGGGGAGAAATGACTGGGAGCCAAAATGTCACACCACTCCTTTCCCAAGGCCTCTAAGGGCGGTGCACATGGAGAATGGTTTTTCACCTGCACTTAATTTCTAAGTTAGCTCAACGTTTCTGCCGTGGCGGTAAAGCAGTGGCGGAGAGGACTTGGACCGACCCTCGCTGACACAGCCCCTGCCTGCCGGCGGGGCCATCGGTGGGGCGGGGGCCACGGAGCGCGGGGAGCACCCCACGCGGAGAGCTGCCAGGACACGGCTGAGGGGAGAGCATGGGGTTGGCTGTCACAGGCAAAGAAATCAGACTTTTAACGTTTTCAGTCAGTGACAACGCCCTTGTCACTTAATTTTTTTCCCATGAAGACAGTTAATTAAATATAAGTAAATGGGACTCTACTGTAACAGCTCCAGGGTAGACCCTTTCCCTGGTACTTGCCTTCAAGAATTGTGGTGTTGGCAGGCGCGCGGTAGCCACGAAGCAGACCTCCTTCCCCAGTGGGCCCTGGCCAGGCCTGGAAAGGGCGCCGTCAAAGCCGTTACAGGGGGCGCCAGGCACTGGGGAGGGAGGACACAGGTTAGCCCGTCGGGTGCAGCCGCCGGTGACTGAGCCAGCACTGCGCTTAGGGCTCGAGCACATGAACTCCTTTCTCCCGGACGGAAATGTGGGGCGTAGGCCCGTTGCCACCCCAGGGCACAGGAAGGCCCAGAGGCACAGGCTCAAGCAGCTGCACCAGGCCCAGCAGAGCTGGCGATCGAGGCACCAACACACTGCTTGCCTCTCACTGGTTCCGCCTCGCAGCCGCTTCGACGGCTGTGTTGGGAAAAATATTCTGCAAAGTGGGAGACAGCCTCCTTCCACAGGTAGGGCCTGGGCACTCACTGTGCCAGTGTTTCAGGGTGGCCTCTGCAGTTCATTGGTGTTCCTGACACTGACATACCCAGGAAATAACTGTCTAGCACACGATTTGGCACATGACCCCTGGCCCTGGCTTGGCACACCTGGCGCTCTAGGGCTTCGCCGTGAAATGCCTCCTGAAGGCCAGTCTGTGGCCCAGGCTTGGCCAGGACGGCCGAGGACATGGCCTCAGGGCTCAGGGTGACCTCCAGGGCTGTCGCGCCCACAGCGACTTGCCAGGCCTGCGGCACTGCACGGCACCACCCCGTGCACTCGCTCTCACAAGGCATGGCTCTCCTCGTCTGACAAATGAGGACACTGTGCCAGAGAGGTCATATGTCAACCCAGATCACTCCCACAGGAGCAACGGAGAAGGGTCTGATGACCCGCAGGCCAGGCCTCTAACGGGCATGGTCTGGGCCCCCGCTGCGGCTGAGGCTGGGCCAGGCCCAGGGAGGGGCGCCTTCAGCCCCAGCAGCAGCCTCCCTGCGGAGGCAGCCCTCCTTCGGGCTCTCGCCCCCGTCGCAGAGCACGTGTCTACCACTAGGTGGAGTTTGCTGGGTGGGTAAAAGAACCCTGTTAAATATGAGAAAAGTCAGTTTACCGAGCACAAAAATTGTCACTGGTTCCCTGGGGTCTACGACAGGGCTGCCCAGACCCCACCCGAGCAGCTGTCAGAAAGTGAGGGAAAAGCTCCCCAGATTTACCAATGTGCCCCCAGGGTTGAGGGTTACTGTCCTAGATCATCTATGAGGACTCTTCCCTTTGAAGATGTAGTTAGCCTGGCTGGTGTGGCTCCGTGACGGACTGAGCGACGTCCCATGGACTGAGAGGTCCAGGTTCGATTCCCGTCAGGGCACAGGCCCGGAGTTTGGGCTCCATCCCCAGCAGGGGGTGTGTAGGAGGCCGCCGATAGATGTTTCACATCGATGTTTCTCTCTCTCTCTCTGAAAAAAATCAATAAAAACTTAAAAAAAAATGTCATTGATTATATCCTGTACATTTCTGAACTTGTAGATTAAAAGTTATATTTTACAGTTTGAGAATATATAAACATCAGAAAACGAAATGTACTCTAAGATGATATCTGTACAACTTCCTTTGGATTTTAGCTTTCCAATAATTTATTTTATGTGTTTATAGGTTTCTAAGTCATTCAGTAATGTGTTTTATCTACAGATATGAACGAGTTTCTTCTACCAAACATCCCCTGACTGCGTCCGCGTCACGGGTGTTTCCAGACACAGCTGTGAAGCAGGTGGAGCAGAAAGACTGGCCGCGGGGAGCCTGCCGCTGCAGCAGCTGAGACCCCGCGGGCCCTGCGCAGAGGGAGCCCCGCACTTATGGAGGGAACAGGAAACGATTCGGCAAGGGAAGGATTGCCAGATGTGAAGGAAGTCCCCAGATGTGAAACACCCGCTCTGCTGGAATCCGAGACACCAGTAGACAGGACACGCTCCCCACTCTCTCAGAACACCAGGAGCTGCCACACACACCTCTAAGGACTTCCCGGAGCTAAAGAGGACGCGAGTCTGTCTCCAAGCCATGCGCCTTGTTTGAGACGTCCTTTCGGGGTGAACGCCTGCGCCCCTCAGCAGGCGCCGTCCTCGGTGACGCGCTGTGATGAAGAGAGGGGCAGGGGGTGCGGAGCCCCAGACTCGAAGGGGCGTGGATGCGGATCATGGCCACTGAATGGATGTTCCACAGAGCTTCCTGTTGGCCTGGCTGCCTCCCAACACAGTCTTATCAGCCCCTTTAACCTTCCAAAGCTTTAAGGATGAGAACGCACCTCCCAAGGGAAGTTCTATTATTGCTTGCAGCCGGCACCGATGAGCTCGCTATTTCATAGAGGGGCCCAGAACGCAGCAAATGCCTCTTCCAGATAAGCCTTTCCCTCAAAGCCTGAGCAGCCGAGGGTTCGATCAAAGGTGACAGTGAATCAAGGATCAAAGTTACAGCACAGGCCACGGGGAAGCCTTGGGGAGAAGCGGGGAGCAGCTCCTGTGAACAGCTGGCTGGCTGCGTCCGCAGTGCCTCTCAGGGTGTCTTCGCACGTGCTCTGGGACGCCACAGTAACGCTTCGTTCTTAGAAAGACTGCTCAGGCATGTCTTATCCCCAGGTCATTTAGCAACATTAATTAAAAGTTTAATTAGTTATTTCAATTGAAGCAATAGAAATATATATCTAATTACAGCTGGCTTTCTGAGCCTCTCAGAAGGACAACCCACTCAATTCCAGGGCTCTATGAAATCTCTGACCCTCCCAGAGTGCTTCCTCCTGCCACACACACACACTCACTCATGATATAGATGAAAGTGATTGCTTCTTGCTACATTCCCCCCTCCCTCCAAGTCATCTTCCTTAAAATGGATCACACTCTTGCCCAAAGAGAAAGCAACAGGCTTCCCTGAGGCAGAACCTGGGTCTACTTCTCTGTCTCCAGCTCCGAGCAGGCATCTGAGCACACAGCAGTCACAGTGCTTCCGGGACGGCTCCGGACCGAGACGCCTCTCACGTCCAAGACACAGCTCGAGGCCCGACCGGGAAGAGACCTTCTGATCCTCGTCAGCATCTCACGCACAGACCTCGAGACCCCAGGGTGATCTCCTGTCACCGTCCAGCCTGTGCTGGTGGTGCTGGCTTGTCAGCTCCCTGCCCTGCCGATGCACAGACACCTGTCAGCAAGGCGCCTGGGCAACACCTGCAGACCAGCCCGGCCTCCGCCACCGTGGCGCGCGGGGACCTGCCCACCGTGGACCCCACGCTCGGAGATGTGCAGGATGGGCTCTGGTTTTGGGCTCCTATTAAAAGGGTCCATGGAGTCACCAAGGGCCCTCTTTGCTCCTGAACCTTTTAGCACAGTTCTCTAATATCAGAGACCCTGAAAGAAATTGGTTTTAAACTGGCATTCTTAGGATTCCAAAAATAAGATAGTCCAAGGCTGTCCAGAGAATCACGACTTGACTTGCTTGGTGCCTAGGGCCTTTTAGCTTCCAATTCTGTCCGATGACACAGGTAGGCCCCACACCGGTCGCAACAAGGACATGAGGAGGCCTGTAGGGGCAGCGAGAGCTCGGGAGGTGTGTGGACTTGTTTCCACAGGGGTAGGACAGAGAGAGGAGTAGGGATGGTGACAGTGGACCTTGGCCAACAGCGAGGAGTAGAAGCAAAGGAGAAAGATGTGCCGACGCCCTTCCGCTCAGCCGGTCCACACTCAGGCCTGTGAACAGGGCTGACCTCCCGCAGCTGCAGGGACACACCGGCAGTCCGTCCACAGGACCCACAGCGTGCTCAGCACTTTTTGGAGCGAATGAAGAACAAAGCAGATGGTGTCTGAGAAGCCATGAGACCATCAGTGAAGAGGTTTGCTGAAGGAAGAATCAAGTTCCTAAACCTCACTTGTGACTGCCCAAGAGTGGTGGGATGTTGAGGGAAGAGAACCTCTGCACACTTGTGAGACATCGCCTCCCGCTCACAAAGCAGAGCCCCAGGCTCCCTTCTTCCTCTGCCCAGCGTGCCTCCCGGGGGCCTCCCGTCCCGAAGGACCAGGCAGAGGGCAGCTGCCCGAGGCCCCGCCCACGTGTGTTCCCTTTGCACCGCTGCAATCTGGCCCATGGAAGAATGACGCGGGGGAGGGGCCGAGAGCCACACCAGAAAGCTGGGGGGGGGGGGGGTTTGCGATTTGCCAGATTGAAAAATGTACTCTAATGGGAAAATGTCTTGAATTTCTTCTCTCCCCTGGCATTCATTTATGAAAATGAGTAGTTTAAGGGCCAGGAGACTGTAAGGCATTGACCAGCTATCCACCAGACGGGGTGTGGACAGGGCCAAGTTACTGGTGTGCTCAGGAGACTGAGCTTCCGGCAGGCCACTGTCCCCCGAGCACCAGTGGACGTCTCGTGACCGCTGTTATCACCAGTCCCGGAGTCCACCCCCAAGGACCCGCTCCCAGGCTGAGACGCACATGAAGACAGTTGACAAATGGATGAACGTTCCTCTCTGTTCCATTTCAACAGACCGTAGATGCTCAGGCAGGACAACACTCTTGGGTAACAATTTGTTCTTTATTCCGATCTTAATTCCTCTGCAATCTAACCCGGCAGTGCCCACCGCTGGAGGACATGGCACGCCCCTGTCGGGGGCGGGGATACTCTGACTCCTGGGGCCTGGGACGGTGATCAGAGGGCACTGGCCTGCGGAGCTGGACTCCCAGCTCCTCTTCCGGTGAGGCCTGGCCAGCCTGCAGTTTGCAATGTTCCCTTCACTGAGGCCCCTCACTCAAACCAGATTAGGAAAGAGACCAAAACAAAACCAGACCCCCAAAGCCAGAAAATGAGGGGAGCTGCAGAAATCCGCGGAGCATGGGGGGCCACGCGCTGCAGGCCGGGCCTGCTCCGCCAGGCTGGCGGGAGGGGAGCCGAGGGCAGGCGCGTCGGCTCTGCTGTGTGGTTTCCGGAAAGCCCAGAGTGGAATGTTTGCTGAGGGTGATCCATTTGGAACCACACCAGCAACTTTCGAAACACTGCTCTGGATTTCAGTCAGACACACGCTGAAACCCAGGGCGGGCAGGGCGGGAGCAGACAGAGGGCAGCCTTCTTCCTCCAGGGTGTGGCCGGGGAACGTTCCAGGGGCTCCCCCTTGTTTAACTGGAGAAGTAAA